GCAGGAGCCGGCGCTGGCACTCAGGAAGCCGGGAATGCCTCTTTCGCTGGTCTCGGGGCTAAGCTAGGGAACTGAGACCGGACTAGCTGCTCCCTCTTTAGGGAATGGAACCCTGTAGGCGTTCCCTGGTTATATGGAACTTTGCAGGCGGGTTTAGGTACCCGCTAGCCGGGGAGGAGGCTGAGGGTGGGAGCCACCCAGGCCTTTGGAATTTGCCCCACGTGAGCGCCAGATATTGGTGAAATTATTAAGGCCACTCCACGCAGTTAAAAGGAGATTTATTTAATGGCGTAACTTACAAATTAAGGGATAGGTAGGTCACGGAGTCTGGGGAAGGTGTATCGCAGTCCAGCGGTGTTCTCTGGAGCTCTGCTTGGTACACCTCTCCAGTCCGGGGTCCCGCAACAGAGAGAGCACCCGCCGATCCAGCTCTCGGGTCCCCAGGCGCCTCCCTTGGCCCCTCCTTGTAGGTGTGACAGTTGCCGAAGTCTCAATGGGGGTTGGAACTTCCAGATCAAAGCTGGAATGGCTACCCACTACAGGCTAGACTTTTTCTATCTGAGGAGGAAAATAAGGAAACATTCATACTTTCTGATGGTAACTTACTCTTTTATTTCATCTTAAAAAATCCTCTCAGTAAATCTCTGTCTCCACATAGATACATTCCACATTGTTACATTCTTCATACAGCCAAGTTACATTTCACACTGTTAAATTCTCCATAAATACTCCACATATCCACATACATCTTTTGCACAGTTACATCTCCTTTTTATACATCTCTCTTTTATATACATTTCTTCTCTCTATTCTGTAACACTCCTTCACATATTATTACATCATTTATTCACTCTTTCCCTACTCAAGAAACTGTTAATTTTCTCGTTGCCCATTCTGCTCCATCTCTCACTCAGCACACACACACACACACACACACACACACACACACACACACACACACACACACACACCACTTGCTGCTCTTTATATAGTTCTACATATCCCTTCCTCAGCACACACCCAAACACATTCATTCTTACCCTCTGCACAGCTTTTTTCCCAGCAGTTCTCTCCGTAGCTTTTCATAGTTCCCCTCCACACACCCACATACACACTTACATACTCTCTCATTCTTCCTTCTCTCTCTCTCTCTCTCTCTCTCTCTCTCTCTCTCTCTCTCTCTCTCTCTCTCTCTCAGCCAAACTCTGGATAATACTATGTTACATTTTCAGGGTCCGATCCATTCTAATAACACATAATAAGTCACATGGTAAGTTTCTCTCAGCTTAGGAAGATCACGCTGACTGGTGAGTGTAACTCTTGGCCATACACGTTGCTCTAAGTTGGTGAGAGTTCCAAGACAGAAAGTAAACAGTTGACTGAACCTTGAGCCGGTGAGTACATGCAGTCAATTCTGTAGGGGGTTATGTCTCAATGAAAACAGCCTGATCTTGATTTAGCAATAAATACCTGGGAACTAGTTTTTGTGTATTTTCTGCAGGGATGGCTTAGTCTGTTTTGAATTTGTTCTGAAGTCTAAAATTAGCTGTCTTTGAGACTGAAAATGCTGTTACTTTCCTGCATCAGTAAAGAAAAATATTCTGGTATTATTTCTAGTCATCAGAATTATACAGCTTAAGCAGACATCATCTTCCTGACCATCCACAATTATAAGTATGCACAAAGATGGAATATACACCACCAATGGGCTGTGGAAAGAACCCCACAGCTATTTTTTTGGGGGGAGAGGTAAGTGGTGGCACAAGAGAAAGTTACAGACAGAAAACAAGCAGTTTCCACAGCCAGTGACCCCCACGGACTTTGCCTAGTAGGGTTCTCCAACAGAGAGTTATTAGTCTGGTGGGTTAACCTGTTAAACATTAGTTGTCACCTGCTGTATACGCCCATGACCTCCTGCACAATAAGAGCAATTATCAGGTAAGAATTACATTTACAATATCCAGCCCATTTGTATTTGGCATATTTGGAGAAAATACTCCATTATTTATTCTATCTTGATGAGTCCAAAGCTCTGTACCTAATTTACCTTCTATCATAACTAAGGAAAACTGCAACTATAACTACCCAGTGTTCAACTCCATCAAAGGATATCCCAGAAGGATATATTATTACATGAGTAAACAGGAAGTGCAGTGTAAGCCACTTCCAAACCTATAGAAATGACAGACATCTGGCTGCCTGGACAATCACCCAAGGTTCCTCTGCAACACTGGGGTATTCAATCTTCAGCCTACAGGCCTAGAATATCTATCAGATTCTTTTGTAAAGCAGGAATTCTGAAGGACTGTCCCACCTAGTCTTGGCAAAATTCAACAGTCTTTTTCCTTTGTGTCTTGCTTTTCCAGTTTGCACAGCATACCATCAGCAGTCAAGACAAGAGCAGTTTCTTGACCAAATGGCTAGTTTGCCACATTGAAAGCAAACTCCATATGCAGGTTCTTTGATGCCCTTCTGAAGTAACTTGGTGCTGCCAGGAGCAGATATCTCATTGTCATGAAAAGCCCTGTATTAACAAAACATTTTAAATGTCATATTCTGTAAGTCTTAGAAGTGTTTGAAGACCATCTATCTAAAGTATGTTTGACCTTGAAAACATACCTAACATGACTACAAGTTTGATTGTTATAGGTGACTAACTACTAACCTGTATTTATTTCTCTAAATAATAATAAATTGCAAAGACTAGAAATTTATATTACACTGTTAAATGAGATGCATAGGTACAACACCTTGAACAAGAGGTAGAAATGTATGTACTGTATGTTCCAACAAAAATAACCTTAAATTTGTATCAATATACAAAAATACCTTAAATAAGAGTAGAAAATATACAGTATAACAAAAATAACTTCAAATTTATATCATTATACCAAAATCAATACCAATGTAAAATATTTAAGACTAGTAGTTGTTAAGAAGTAGACTGAACAGTCCACCCTTTTATCTCATCACTTCTATCCTATATCCTCCCTTTTTCTCTTTAGAAAGAGATCCATGAATCTAATCTCCTTTATTCAGTTTTTTTCTCACCATGACCAAAACCAATTTGTAACCAAGCCCCTAAACAATGACAATTATCCATAACCCGTTGAATAACCAAAACCCACTCATCCTGTCTCTTGGAAATGTGGGTGTTGTGTTTTCTAGACTGCTCCCTGTTGTCTGGGGGTGCTGGCATCTTTGGGGGACTCTGAGAAAATTAGGATAATGGTCAAGTCCTGGCTAGAATAGTCTGTGAGGCTGGACCATCTCAGTCAGTAGACTTGAAGCTGTTCTGGATATAGAACCCCGAGGAAACTACAACAGAGGTACTCTGTGAGGCTGGATCACCTGGACCACCCATTTTCATTGGTGTCTAAAAACATAAATTTTGAAAGGTAACGTACACGTCTGTATTAACACAAGTATGAACTGTGTGTTGTACACAAGCCAATCAAAGATGACTTTTGTTTTGTTTTGTTTTATGTTTGAGCAGGTAAAATATATGTTACCTGTCTTGTAGTTTTTCTAGGTTTATTACTTTATGTCTATAGCCAGGGTTTTCAGGAGTTTTCCCCTCTACCCTACCCCCCAATCCCCCCCCATCAAATCTGATCTCTATCAACCTTGAATGAACCCACAGCCTTTTGTTTTCTGCAGAAACACAAGCATAACTTTCCCTGACATAGCATATATTTTTACTTCCATTTTGAAGTTATAACATTTTAAGAATATATAGATTGGTTTAATTTAGTAGTTTTTATAATCCAGTGTCTCTCAGTAGCTATTATTTGCTTATCAGCAATCAAAAATTTAAAGCCAATACAACACCATACAGGATCCCAACTCCCTATGTATTTCCCATTTCTACATGGCTTCTTTTTTTATTACTTTTCTTTTCTTTTTAAAGATTTTATTATTTTTAAACTATTTCTTATGATTGTCTATACCATTTTTCTATTTTTCTTAAGCCCACACACATTGTTAAGAACACTGTAACCTGTTTAGAGGTTTTTCTTCCATCTGAATCTGTTTACTGCATATCTGTAACCTTTTCTGTCTGCATGAGCAAAATCTTAAATTGACACGCAGCTGAGTTTATGATGCACTGGAGGCTCAAGCCTGCAGGCAGCGGCCTAGAGATGCATCTCTGTAACACGGCCAGCATGAGAGACTGCAGGACTAGGAAGCTGTGTTTGGCTCCATTTTTGAACTTTTTTTTTCTAGCTTTCTCAGGCCTTATGTGGATATTCGAGCCCTGCTGTGGGATGGTCTGTATGTTAAATCTGTTACTCTGATTGGTCAATAAATAAAACACTGATTGGCCAGTGGTCAGGCAGGAAGCATAGGTGGGACTAACAGAGAGGAGAATTGAGAGAACAGGAAGGTGGGGGGAGACACTGTCAGCTACCGCCATGACAAGCAGCATGTGAAGATGTTGGTAAGCCATGAGCCACATGGCAAGGTATAGATTTATAGAAATGGATTAATTTAAGATATAAGAACAGTTAGCAAGAAGCCTGCCACGGCCATACAGTTTGTAAGCAATATAAGTCTCTGTTTACTTGGTTGGGTCTGAGTGGCTGTGGGACTGGAGGGTGACAGAGATTTGTCCTGACTGTGGGCCAGGTGGGAAAACTCTAGCTACAAGGGGCCCCATGTTGGCTGCCATTTGTAGTGAGTCTTTCTCTGTCCCGCCAGCCAGCTCCCAAATAAACAACATGGATACTTATTATAAATTATGAAAGCTTAAACAATAGCTTAGGCTTGTTTTTAACTAGCTGTTATAACTTAAATTAACCCATTTCTACTAATTTACATGCTGCCATGTGGCTCACAGCTTGCTACCTCATTTCCTTCATGTCATGTTTCCTCCAAGTCCGACTGGCAACTCCACCTTCTTCCTAGTGTTCCTTCTATCCTGAAAATCCTGCCTAACTATTGGACATTTAGGTTTTTTTCATTAAACCAATCACAGTGACATATCTTCACACAGTATAAAAGAATATTCCACAACATCACCTTTATTGAGAAATAACATGACTAAATGAAATTATGCTGCTTCAAACATTAGATACAAACACAGAATTTCCAGATCTTATAGTCAGCGCCAATGTAATATACAGCAAAATCTTTAACTTTACAAGGTCAACTCAATACTCTATCATGGCACACGATGGGGATAAAAATGTCTTCATTTCCTTTTATTCTTAACTTTTAATTTCCTTTCTGAACCAAGCTGTTTGGACCTTCACAATTACAAAGGAGAATCAGATTGTGGTGATTGTGTTGTTGTGTTGTAGCAGCTGAGTCCATTTGGTTTGTGCCTTGGCTTACACAGCCACAACTGCAGCTCCTGAGAATTCGAAACTGATTTAATTTCAACTATGTGGTGCACTATTCTTTTTTGTTAACGGAAATATTTGCAGATCAAGTCGGAGGTTGTATGCATATTTGGAATGTGATGCAGGCAATGGGAACACCTGAAACAGCAAATTTAAGGGAATGTGGTTTCATAAGCATTAAAGCTTAGATCTACCTTCGTTTGGTAGGTAATGCAAATAGTTAAAATGGGCATTTTCTTCTGGCAGATTTCTTGTTTGTTTTGGCAAAGTAAAGTTGCTTCATATTTTCAACTGTTTATTTGGTTCTGTCAGTGTGTGTGTGTGTGTGTGTGTGTGTGTGTGTGTGTGTGTGTGTGTGTGTGTGTGAAGGGCAAAATTATTCCCACAGCCATTAATTAATATGCAACATTATTTTTCTGGAAACAGAAAGATACTTCTCAAAGGTTTATTCAACCTAATTTGCTGAATATTCCACATCTCTCTTAGCCTGAAACTGTACTTGCCCTTGTCTCCAACTCCAGTGGTTAATTTTCACAACTCTGGACAGGAAGACAGCCATGTTTTCCCTCCATGTCAACAGTCAGCAGATGGGAATTAACTTACATAACGTTAGCAGATATTGAATAGGGAGCGGGTCCCAGTGGCTTAGAACCAAGGGAACACACGAGAACTAGAATGGCTTGATTTCTGAACACTGACTTAACTAAGGGAAAATGATGACGGGGCTTCCCAGTTTCTGAATTTAGAATAAAGATGTCACATTGATAAAACAGTATTTTCCACCACTGTAAACAATCATTTTAAGTTGTCAATTAGAACATGGTAAGTTGTAATCTCAGCTGTCAATCTGATAAGACTTAAAAGCAATATGTTGTTTGCTTTTTTAAAAAAATATTTATGTGGGGGCCACTGCAGAGGGGAGGAGAGGATATGGAGGGACTGGGAGGTGAGCGGAATTGGGGTACATGATGTGAAATTTCCAAAGATTCAATAACGGAATTGTGCTAAATATTAAAAAAAAATCATTATGTTTTTGGGTGTGTGTGAGGGTGTTCCAAGAAAGGTTTAAGTGATCCAGGAAGAGGCACCCTAAAAGTGGGTGGTGGCATTCCACAGGCTGGAGTATAGACTGGAAGGAAAAAATGAGCTCTGCACACTTCCATTTAACAGAAGAAGTGATGTGACCAATGGCCCCAAGCTCTGGTCCCAAGCTCAGCAGGGGATGCCGTCTGGACCCCAAATCAGGCACAAAGCACACCCATACACCTGTTTTCACAGAGGGATACTTTATTATTACGCAAGAAAGAAAAGTTCAAGTGACTGCTTTCTGACTCACACAGAAAACAGCAGCAAATGACCTTGCTGGTGTCATCTTAAGAGGTGAAGGGGAGGTCTGTGTTAGAGTGGGCTAGGATGCTGTGCCCAAGGAGATAGGGGATGAAGGAGAAGGGGAAGGGGACACGACAAAGGAGAAGTGGTATTTGTCTTGGAGGGACCAAGGACTACCTGTGTATAGAGGCGAGAGACATGGCCCATAGGCAAACGGCGGTTTATAAAGGTACATGGGGAAACCCTGTGCTAAGATGAGGAGTTTAATTTTAATTTGGCATGTTAATTAGGTGAACCAAAGGAGGATTCTGATTGCTGGACCTTGGCAGTCAGCCTCAGGAGGAGGAAGTGGTCAAATAAGGGAACAGACCTGGTGACTCGCTTTAGGAATGTGATCTAATGGTTCTTAGCAAGGCAGAGGGAATGGAGACGGGCAAGGCCTGCAGAGCCACATGCTCTGGTGGGCCAGTGTCCCTTCACTCTCTCTACCACGATGAACTGTACCCTCAGACTGAGAGCCCAAACAAACCCTCTGCATTAGTTACTTCTCTGTTGCTGTGATAAAATGTCATGATCAAAAGCAACTTAAGGAAGAAAAAGCTTATTCTGGCCTCCAGAGGAACAGAGTCCATCATATCTGGAAGCATGAAATGGTAGCGGGAGCCAGGAGCTGGCTGATCACATCTTATCCACACACAGGAAGCACACAGCAAGAAGGAAAGAAGCAAAGGACGATCCCTGACCCTGCTGACTTGGGTCCTGCAGCAAAGCTCCACTTCCTAAAGGCTACATAACCCCCCAAACAGAGTCACCAAATGGAACCCATGCTGAAATTCACGAGCCTCGGGGGACATTTCTCATTCAAACCACCACACCCTTAAGTTGCCTTTGTCGGGTATTTGATACAGCTGTGAAAAAATATACTAACTAATGATTAGCAGTACACAAAGCAATATTAGAATTATTGATTATAAACACCAAGAAAGGATGAAAGAAAAATTATTCCAAGATAGAAAAGCAGGAGTCTCCTCAAAGAAGCTCTGAAGTGAGGATTAAAGGCAAGTCTTTCCAAATAAAACCCACATAATTATCAAAGAAAGCAGGGCAGACACAAAGCATGAAGTTCAAGGAAGGGCAGCTGTCAGCAGTTACAGGGAATGGGAAACAGCGGGGGTCTGCCTGGAGTGGGGTTTAGCAGAGAGGAAGAAGAGAGGCCGGAGAAACTGAGACAGAGCCAAGGACATAGACCCTGCCCCTTCAAATCCCTACAGATAGAAATGCTGGGGATGCAGGTGCATCTTTAAGGCATCAAGGAATGAAGAGAGAGACTTTCTCCTGGAGTAGCTTAGACCAAGAGTGAGCCGTTTGAATTCTCCACTTCTCTCCTTGTGTCTTCTGTCTAGTTTGTGGTCTGTGTCCGATCTGTCCGTCCCTGTTGCCTGTACGGAACAAAGAGCTTTACTTACTGAGCAGCGTAGGGAATGTGGAGTGGGATGAGGATTAGTTTTCTACAGAAATCTTTGAGTTTTACAAAGAAAGAAGTTACTTTACTGAACCCAGAACAGCACTCAAGAACCACACACAGATGTTATCAACCTATATCCACACATTGCTTCCAACATGACGGGATATTTGTTCTTTAAGGTTGTTTTCAGCCTGTTGGCTACTTTCAGTAAATGGTTATCACAACACATATACATACACTCTCCTGGGTCAGGGACATGGAAGAATCCATAGTTTAAGATTAAAGCTATTTACTTAGCTTAAATTCTAAAAGCCGAATACATGGGAAGAGCAAGGCATAGTAACATTGGTTATACTGTTCTCTTAAAGGCAGGTTAAACTTAAATAGGCTGAGTATACAGCAAATTGACAGCATTTGAACAGTTTTAGAAGATCTCAGGGCATATTATTAACTTGGTTGCAAGGTCTGGCAAAAGTTGTCTCTTTGAAGACAGGTTATTTCTCAGAAAAAATACTATGACATACAGGTCCATAAATTCAGAGATGATTCCACTCCCAGGGACTACAAGTCTAGCAGGAAGAGCAAACCCATAAACACATGAATTTGTTGATATGAAAAAGATAGAACCTCTACATATGCAGGCAAGGCTATATTAGTCTGTTTTCTGTTGCTGTAGCATAGACTAGCTGTGACTGGGTAACCTTCGGAAAGATCTAAACATCCAAGATTGGGTGACCCCATCATTCGGGCCTTTGGTAAGGCCCTTGTAGTTGGTCTTTCTTTGGACCACCAGCTCCCAAATAATGACACAGAGACTTATTATTAAATATGAAAGCTTGGCCTTAGCTTAGGCTTGTTCCCAACTAGCTCCTAAAACTTAAATTAATCCGTTTATATTAATGTACATTCTGCCGCATGTCGTGTTAACTCTCCTCCATACTATATGTCCCACTGTTTCTGTGTCTCAGAGTTCCTATCTCTTTCCAGAAGTCCCGCCTATCCTCCCCTGCCTAGCCATTGTCCATCCAGTTCTTTATTAAACCAATCAGAAGGTGCCTTGGCGGAGATACCTCTTCACAGCATACAAAAAGATTATCCCGCAACAGACCCTTATGAGAGATGTCATCAAAAGTATGGAGCTGGTGAGATGGCCCAGCAGGTAACAGAACTTGTCACCAAGCTGAATTCAATCCCTGGAACCCTCCAAGGAGAGAACTGACCCCACATCTGTGATGTGGCATGTAGCTTAAATTCTAATTGGTCTTAATAATAAACACCTGGAGTCAGATATAGAGGTAAATAATGCTAGAAGATCAGAGAAGTAAAGGAGCCAGCTACTAGTGAGACTTACCTCTTCCTAATCCTCTGACCAAAAGGGGTGAGCTCCTGTCTCCACCCCACCTTATCACTTCCTCTCTCCACCCAGCCATATTGCTTTCTGTTTCCTCCTCCCAAGTGCTGGGATTGAAGGTATGTGCCACCACTGCCTGGTCTCTATGGTTAACTAGTGGCTGGCTCTGCCCTCTGATCTCCAGGCAAGCTTTATTTATTAGATCATAAACAAAATATCACCACAGTGGCATGTGCACCTACACACACATACCACACACACACACACTGAATAAATCTGAAAAACTGGGTAAGGGTGTGTGCCATAGGTCTTACAGTGAAAACAGGAAGCCATAAAAGAGCTCAGGGGTTGTTGTTGTTGTTGTTGTTGTTGTTGTTACTGTTTTGTAACAATTCATTCTCCTGGAAACTAACCAGGTTTCTGGGAAAGTTACATTAATCCCTACCAAAGGTTGCATCCACTGATTACCTACTCGGCCTTAGCTCTTAAAGGTCCCTTCACCACCAGGTCCCACTCTCAGGTGTTAACAGCCATTTAGCCCCCAAATATGTTTTTCTAGATCTTGAGCCCACCAACTTGATCTACACATTCATATATGTGACTGGTTTTGCGTTAAAGCCCCGACTCCTAAACTTACTGTTCCAGTCCCGCATTCTAAGCCTTAAGATGCCACCACGTCCAGCAACAGCCTTACCACCTGTCATCCATCAGTGAGTCTGTAATGTTCTCCAGGCTGTCACCAGCTCTACCTGTGTGCAGGGCTGTGCCCGGGCCCGAGTGTCAACAGCCTGATTTACCGCAGAACTTCCTAAGCTGGATGCCATTGGGAACTCAGTCCTGCTATCCTTAGACTCGTCTTCCATACTGCTTCCAGACTGAGCTATCAAACATAATTCTACAGTCACTAAAAATGGCAAAAGACCCCATATCAAAGCACCCATGAAATACTGTCAGTAGAAAAGAAGCAAGCTCCAAATAGTATGTCCATGATAATCCCACATCTGGTTTTCACCAATTATGTGTATATGCCTCAAACAAGAACATACATCAAAATATTAACAAGTTATCTTCCAGCGGTAAGATAGCTTTTTTTTTAATTTAATCTTCAATTTCTGCAACACATGCATGTGATCTTTAAAACAAAAGACATGGATCTATAAAGCTGATTATATCAACTTTAAAAGCAATCTTGTTGGCAGGGTAAGCTGCAAGCATCACGCCATGGCAGACAGGGCACTTCCCAAGCTTGTGCATGTACTTGGAAAGACCAGAAGACGTTGGCTGTCTTCCTCTATTTCTCTGCCTTAAGAAAACCATAAAAAGGAGAATTAATCACAGATATGAGAGGGCAGGGACCATGAACGGACACAGAGAAGACAGAAACCTACAAACCCAAGGAGAGAGGCCTCATACACTAATTCCGACACCTTGATCTTGACCTTAGATTTCTTGCCTCAAGATGGTGAGAAAATAAATTTGTTGCTGAAGACACCTATTCAGTGATCTATGTGATGGAAGCCCCTGGTAACCAATGCGCACACTCACACATTGTCAGGAGCAGTCCACTAAGGCAGGACAGAAAAGGAACATCTGAGCTGGAGCCTGGGTACCACCGGAGTGCTGAGTCACAAAGGCAGGCCAGCCAGCTGCCCAGTGTACCCCTCTCCGCACACACAGTGCAGCCAGGCAGACGGAGGGAGGGGAAAGCCCACCTTGGTTATAGAGGTGAGCCGCTGCACGAGAGCAAGTGAAAAGCAGACAGCAATGTAAGAGTGACCTTAAAACAAGCATAAAAGTCGGGTGGTGGTGGCGCATGCCTTTAATCCCAGCAACTCAGTGGATGTCTGTGAGTCTGAGGCCAGTCTGATCTACAGAGCAAGTTCCAGGACAGCCAGGGCTGCTACACAGAGAAACCCTGCTCAAAAAACAACAACAAAAACCAAGCATAAAAAGCAGGGGAGGGGAGGGGAGGGTGAGATGGCCCACTAGGTTAAGGCACTTGCCCTCAATCTGTCCTGAGTTCAGTCCCAGGACCCACATGACAAGAAAGAATTCCCAGCTGTCCTCTGATCCCCCCACACGCACCATGGCATACAAGCCCTTACCACAAAATAAATAAATGTAATTAAAAAACAGACAAAGGGAAATTACAGGACAGTGATTTAAGCACTGTGCCTTGCTTAGCATTTATATCAAAAGTGTCCTGCCTCGGAATGACATATACTCAGGCCATGGGGCAGAAAGCTGCCTGAGGCTTGATGGGGAGTAGAGACCTGTGTGTCTTTGTCAATGTTCACTAGGAAGCAAGCACTGTGGAAGAGGCGCTGAATCCAGAAGACAAAACGACTTGCTTTTAACTTTGCCCAGTCTCTGTCACTAGTGACCTCAGTATGACCCCACCAGGTATCTGCATGTAACAGGCATAAATTAGAGAAGGAACCTAGTCCTGGGACCCACTGCACAGATCCTCACTTCCCTCGTGGTTAACCTGCCTGTGAACATCCAGTCTTCAGGCATCAGACGCAAATGCTGAGCTCCCAGTATGGCACTATTCAAGCTGGCCTGAGAGGGAGTGGATGCTTTTCCCGTGAGGCTGCCTTCCTGCCTACAGAGCCTTGGGCAGCACCGTCTGTCCACTTTCACGTCCCCCATCCGCACTGGCATTGTTCTGGCTCCACACCTGCTCCCTCAGGACTCGAGCTCCTCTTTGTCTGCAGACAGGGAAAACAGAGGAGCCCAAGGGAAAAGACGCACACAGGAACTTCCTGGCATGTGTGTGAATGCTTCCTAACCGAGGGTCAAACGAGCATCTGCCTGTTACAGTGTTGTTATCAAGCAAGTCTCACTGTGGAGTGCAGGCTGCCTCAGCTCTTAAACAGCAGGATTACCGATGGGACCTGCCAAGCACAGCTCTCTTTCACGAGTTAGTTTCGGAGGCTGTCGCACGTTGGTTGCGGTGTGGAGGTCGGAAGACAACGCAGGGGGATCAGGCCCGGGAATCAGGCCCGGGGATCAGGTCCGGGGATCAGGTCCGGGGATCAGGCCCGGGGGTCAGGTCCGGGGATCAGGTCCGGGGATCAGGCCCGGGGGTCAGGTCCGGGGGTCAGGAGAAGTGGCGAGTGGCCTGACCTGCTGAGCCATCTCTGATCCTTTCTCTTCAAGACAGGTTCTCACTGGTTGTGGGGATGAAATCGGCATCCATGACAGAGCAACCTCTACCTGTGTCCACCCAATATCAGCTCAGCTACTTTTTAAATTACCTTGAAATCTTTAGGGCAAAGAGATTAAAAAAATGCATGATTTAAAAAATTAACAACAAATAAAAATATATCACTAAAAAAGCCACAATCTGTATTTAATATATTAAAATACATTGATAATTTTATAAATAAAACCATTGTAAACAGTAGATAGATACATGATCAAATTTCTGATACCAGTTACATATAAATCAACAGCCGATTTCAAAAATGTAAGAAATTTCCATCTTACCTTTAAGAACCATCTAAGTTAATTTTACAAAATTATCAAAAGTTAAAAAGGGTTCAATATGCTTCCATTTTGTTCCATTTTCACATCATCAGACCTTAAAAATTAGACAGGACATAAAACCTGAGACCATCAGGTGCTGGCGAAGGCTGGGGAGCCGACAGAGGTCCATCCAGTGCTTCCACCTGCCTCTGTTCTCAGAACCAGGGGCCTCATCCTGCCACATCCAGTGCTTCTGCCGGACCACCATGGGACTTCTGGGAGAAGTTTGCTGAGGGAATCTCCACATGGAATCCTGGACCAATACTGAAACTTCTGAAGACTCTGCATCTGAATCCAATACCGGAGCATCCCTCTCACTCAGAGTGAGAGGCTGGCACTTCATTTAGGCACTTGATTTCAGGTTACTTGCTGAGGTAGGATAATGTCCCCTTCTCTGCGACTGGCATTACATAAATGGTGGCTGAACTGGAAAGGGCTCTAACGCCTTTTCTGCGTTCTTCCAGTTGTGAAAATTCTCTCGGTACCACTCAACTGGCAGGAAAATCAAGACAATGAAAAAGTAAAAACCATGCATCAATTAAGCAGCACTTCCTGAGTGCCTGCTACGTCAGCAGAGTCTCACCTTCAAGCTGACCAGCGGGGCTCATCACCTGAAAAGCCCTGGAAACAGTAAGGAGCTGCTGCCTTCTGCCCAATGCAAAGGCAGTCCCTGCAGCACAGACCTGTGGGGAATGCTGAAGACATTCAGATTTCAGCAATCTCAGGGGAGGCAACAGGCATTTATGCTGCCTTTAAAGCTACTTCACAGAAAGAAGAATACTTATTCATCTAACCACAGTGATACAGGATCAGGCAACATGAGATGAAGGGTCTCTCTATGAATAGGTGAGGTCAGTTTATGGTGTGCACTATTAGCTCAAGGCTCTACACTAAGTAAGAAGCCTAAGTCTAGCTAAGAATGGAAGCTACCTTTGCTTTTGGCTTTTCATACTTGAACAAAGTATTTTGTATTTAAAGTTGTGAATCAAGGCCTGTTTTTACACATTTGAGCAGATTCTTTCCTACAAACACAATTCCAAACAGATTTTTGTTGGTCTGTTTTGTTCTGTCTTTTGAGACAGGGTTTCACTAGGCAGCCCTAGCTAGCCTAAAACTTGTTATGTAAACCAGGCTGGCCTCAAACTCAGAGATCCTCCTGCCTCCACTTCCTGAATGTTGGGATTTAAGGCATGTGCTACCACCCAGGGTCCAAAGAGCTTTACACACACACACACACACACAGAGAGAGAGAGAGAGAGAGGAGAGAGAGAGAGAGAGAGAGAGAGAGAGAGAGAGAAAGAGAGAGAGAGAGAGAGATTAACTCTTCTTTTACTAGTTTTAAATTTTCTTCAGAGCTAAGACCCCACTGATCTTAACATGGACCACTGAGAAAGAAGAAAGCTGCCTTTCAAGAAGACAAAGGAAAGGAGAACTGAGCACCCAGCATCGGAACTAAGTGAGCATCTGAGGAACGGAGAAGGCTCAGGAGGAGCAGTGAGAAGCGAAGTCCACTCAACTCCAGATGCTCAGGAAACGACTGTCAGGAATGAAACGAGCAGCTCGGGTTGCAGCCGGTTCCTCACGGCTCTGCAGATCTCGGTACTGTCCCCAAATGATCGACTCGTTACCACGTACCTGTTTTCTTTATTCCTTCTTCCCAAGGCACTTTGGGCTTCCATCCTAAACTGTGAATTTTTTCAGACTTCATTGGATATCTCATGTCATTGTGAGGTCTTGCAAAGCAAAGATTTAAGATGACATTGTGAACATACATTTGCACATCTAAGACACAGAATGCACTCACACATCTTTATTGTGAACATACATTTGCACATCTAAGACACGGAATGCAATCACACATCTTTATTGTGAATATACATTTGCACATCTAAGACACGGAATGCAATCACACATCTTTATTGTGAATATACATTTGTACATCTAAGATACAAAATGTACACACACATTTATTATGAACACACACTTGCACATCTGACTAAGAGACAGAACACACACTTGCACATCTGACTAAGAGACAGAATGCACACCCACACATCTTTATCACAATTCACATTAAAACAAAATCATGCTGGAAACATGTTATTGTGGAAAGATATATAAAACCCATTTATTACCAATGCCTAACATTCTCTATAGACTATCCTTTCAATATTTTATTTATTTCAGCCACAATTTAGGTACAAATGAAGTGTCTGACATATATAAGAAAATAAGCAAATGTTTGACGAATGAATAAATCAATCACACAGGTGCAAGTAAGTGTACCAAGCCTGAGTACCAAGCCTGGGGCAAGAAGCATTGTCTACAATGTAATTAACCCTCAGAACACTTCTGTGAGAAGATAATCTCCCAATTTCACAATGAAGAAAACCCCACACGGGGAAAGAGTCAACAACTTTCTTTAAGCCCGTGGCTAATAACAGTGCTATCCTTAATCTCTACAACACTTATAATTAGGAAGAAAAATGTGTCAGACAATGCATGAGTTAAACTACTTTTCCGGTAAGTTCATATAGCTTATAGTTTTATAAGCACCCAAAACTTCACCATCTTCTCCAGATGTTCCAACTTGTTACTCACCTGTCATTAACGTAGTCCACCCACCTTTCCGTTTCAGACTCTGAATTGGTCTCTTTGATCTGTCAAAATGAAGCAAGCTTCTGAGCCACAGTACAAAAAGAGACCACAGAGCAACAGTTGTATTTACTAGCTGATAGAAGCAGACAAGAAAGACAACTGCCTCACAACGGGAAGGGAAGAGGAGGAGGGCAGCCAGAATACTTTCTATCCTTACAACCTCCACTCCATCCAGAGCTCATCAAGAATGTGTTCTACACAAACCACAGGGGAGCACCCTGAAGCCTACAATGAGCAGTTCACACTGGAGCCTCACAGTCACTTCACGCTTCACTGGAGTTCCTATTTCTGAAGCTGTATATCTTCCAGCTAGAGGACGCACACTGATACTCTCTCCCTGAAGAACTAATGCCATGTCACACAAAGACACACGGTACACATGATTATGAATTTATTTTCCCTTCTGTTCATTTCTAAGTAAAGGAAATGGTAACCTGTTGATACAGTGGTAGTTTGCATGAGAAACTTCCCCTATTGGCTGGTGTAGTTGAATCCTTGGTTCTCCATTGGTGGTACTGCTTGGGGATGGTACAGAAACTTTAGCAAGTAGGGCTTTGCCAAAGAGAATAAAGACATCACTGGGGCAGGCTTTGCGGTGTTACAGCCTCACCCCACTCCCTGCTCTTTCTTCTGCTTCCTATGTGTGGATGGATGAAAATGATCTAACCAGCTTCCTACTCTTGCCTCCAAGCTATGTTGCACCAGCACCATTATGGACACTATCCCTCAAGATCTAAACTGAAATTAACTTTTTCCTTAACTTGCTTGTGGTCATGGTGTTTCATCACAGCAACTAATACACATAGTGAGTAAATTCTTCATTATTGCCACTAATTTGGTGACAAATTCATAAATACCCTCTTAGAGCAGATCCATACGTACCAGCTGTATTAGTTCTTTCGCAAGCTGAACAACTGACATTTCAAAGTTGGTCCCAATGTTATAGATTTCCCCTGGTTCTCCCTTTTTGAGGACAGTGAGAAATGCTTCCACTACATCAGCAGCATAAAGGAAGTTTCTTCTTTGAAGCCCTGATCCATGAATACAGCTAAACGGATTAAATAAAGCAGGATTATAAAGTGCAGAAAAGAAGCTCCCAAACCAGGCATGAGCAGTGACCAGTGTGATTCCTGAGAAGCCAATTTCCAGAGGCCCTAGAAATCTGTGACTGAAAAATATTAGTTCCCTTAAAATTTCTTCCTCATTTCTTAAATGATACCCAAACTTCTTGAGGATTCTTAATTTAAAAAGTGGAAAATATGGCTCCTGAATAAATATTTGTTAATTTTATACTATAAATTCATTTTGAAGAATTACCTAAGTTGGGTGGGCTTATACAGGACTGTAACTACAGCCACTTGGGAAACTGAGGCAAGAGGATTCCAAGTTCAAGGCCAGCCTGAGCAACTTCAAAAAGTTAAAAAGTCAACAATAAGGAAATGACAGGGCTGGGACGGGTAGGGCTACAGCTTGTTATTAGAGTGCTTGCTCAGAAGGGGCAAGGCCTACTTTCAAGCCCTAGAACCTAAAAATAATGGAAAAAAGAAAAAGAAAACCTACATTTCTATATTAAATTAACCATTTGGAAATCTAAAATTATACACAGATATGAATTTTATTTTGTAGCTCTAAGTTCCATGGCAGATAATTTCAGAATTTACCTTAGTAAGTCATGAAGATGCAGTTATTGAAAAACTATCACATTAAATGGAGAAAGCATTCCTAAACTGGCAGAATGTTCAGATCCATGGCCTCTGTAAGACCTGATGGCTTTCAAAGATTGCTACTGAATACTATTAGCATAGCAGAAAGCACATGAATGCAAAAGTAAAAAGTGACATACCATTTCCTGTCGTGTTGGAGCAAAGATATAAATTTTGGAATAACCTAGAAGAATATTTAAATGTCATTTCAGACTTTGAAAATGACATTAATATGAATTTAAACTCATAAGATGAACCTAAATTCATGACCTCTGGTAAATAAAGAACTCTAAGGTAGTTTGTGATTTCATAAAAACCTGAGGATGAAAAGGCAGGTATAGTGGGAATTCAGAGGAAGCCTTCTTGGACAGTTTGCGGCCTACATACGCCACCTCTTTGGAGATTTCTTTCATAAAGGCAGGCATCACATATCACTTATCACTCACATATAAGCGCCCACTCAGTAAGTCCAAGCTTCTACATCTTTGCCTAATTAGCTTCTAACTTTTATATTCCATGACATAACTGCAGACCAGTCTTAACTGCTACACTGGGCAGTACTGGGAGTGCTATATGGTGCTTCAGAATGCAAGGAAGACAGTGCCTGTCCACACACATCCTAAAAATGCTGTCTTTTCTTTGCATCCCCCAATTTAAAGACAATGGTTAAAGGACACAATGGCATGCCAGCTGGAATGTGTCAAGTTGACACTTTGAGTGACATCTCCAAACTCTGAGTCTGAAGAGCTCGAGTGCAACCCCCACAGAGCATGTAATTATGCACAATTACAACATAAATTAGTTCAAACAAATAACTGCTGGAGGTAATTTAGAAACAGAGTTTACCTTTTCTGGATACTGATGTGGTCCGTAAACATTACTGCTTCTGGTGATGACAACTGGAAACTTAGAGTGAACATTCAACATTAACTAAGGGCCCAACAAGCAGGGTTAGTTTAAAACACACAGCTTCCTAACACTGGTGCCTACCTGACACTCTGTCAGCACAGTGAAGAGCCTGTCTGAGCTCACACTTGTAATTCTGACACCCATGAGGCTAATGCAGGAGGATTTCTAGTTCAAGATCCAGCCTGAGCTATGCAGTGAGTTTGCTGTTGTTGTTGTTTTAAGTCAGGCCTGGTGATGCATGCTTTTAATACTAGAAGTCAGGAGGAAGAGGCAGGGGGATCTCTTTGAGTTTGAGACCAGTGTGGTCGACATAGTAAATTCCAGACCATCCAGGACCACATAGTAAGATCATATCTTAAAAAACACAGGGGAGGACAGTGCTCAGATAAAAGCAGAGGCCCAATGGGAAGACGGACACAGAGGGAAGCACAGAATCAGATTCAACACTGAGGCACTCCACATGATTATTTCCAAGATGGCTTCCAGCAGTCTACATTTAATTAGATGGTAAAATGGTAGGCATCAAGTTGACTCTCTTCATTGAATCAACCCTTACAAGTAAAAAGGATCATCACAAAAAGCAAGAGAACACCAAGGAATTTCTTGGCTTGCCTTTCTAACTCAGCCCTAATAACTAATAATGCCAGTGGGAAGCCAAATACATGGCACTGGAGCTGATAACACTTGTTGTGATTAAACTCCCAGAATGACACTGTCAGAGCCACCAGACATAAGTCTTCAAGTCTACCTCATATGGAGCCAGACTGCTGACTCACACAGAGAAAAGCAACTGCTGGGAAAGGAATCTGTCATCCCTCCACCTTGTAGGATTTCCATGAGCATCTCGCTAGACCTGTGATGTTCTGTTACTGAAATAAGACTAAATATGTTTCAGGTTTGTGCTTTCATGAGGAACTGAACAAGAGGCAGGGCCTTCGCTGCCCATGCAATATAAGATTTACTACTTATAAGACCTTACTAAGTTTTTAAGCTAGGTTTTCTACGCCAAAGCTAACTTAGAATTTTAAAGCTTAAGTCCACAGTAAATGGCTCCAGAGTTTCAGAAATCAGGTCTGGTGAGATTGAAAAAAGTACTTGCTACCAAGCTTGATGACCTACTCAATGCCTGAACCCACATGGTGGAAGGACGAAAGTGCTTCCATACGATGCCCTCTGACCGCCACACTCATATCATAGAACACACATACATACATTCACTCACATGCACAATAAATATTACCAAATAGTTTCAGAAATCAGCTTTTACCTTGTATCGTTCCCAATAAGACTGTACAAAACACTCAGCGGCGGCTTTAGATGAAGCATAAGGGTTTGTAGGTTGTTTGGGTGATGATTCATCAAACTCCTAGTTTTAAAAGGATACATTTGAATTACATAAGTAATTAAGTAGAAAACATATTACAACGTCTAAGTGTGTGGCTTAACAGTAGTCTGTGTCAAATTCACAAGAACCTGAGTTCAATCCCAGCACACACACACGTTGAGTGCACATTAATATACAACCATACTACTAGTTTGAAATGTCAATCACTACATCTAAGAAATCATTTCTTGCTCTGGTGGTACACATCTGTAATCCCAGCACTTGGGAGGTGGAGGAATGGAATCAAGAATTGAAACCCTGTCTCAAAAACAAGCAAACAAAAGCCAAACCAACACAGATACCTCTTGAATTCTAGTCATGGGAAGAGTAAGTGTAAAGGTTCTTAAAGTCTAGTGTAGGGGAGAAGAAATAGGAAATGTAGTTACTGAACTGGCTAGAGGCCATATTATATCAAACCTATAGTCTCAACATTTTAAAATATTTTTAAAGATGTATTTATTATTTTTATATGTATGTGTGTGTACATGAGTTTCTGTGCACCACATATCCACAGGAACCCATGGGAACCACTTAAGGGCATTAGGTCTCCAGGACCTGGAGTTATACATGATTGTAAGCAACCACATGGGTACAGGAGCCAAGCCAGAGTCCTCTGTAAGAGAAATAAAGCCATCTTTCCTGCCTTATATTTATACTTTTGAGACAAAGTGTCACTAAGTTACCCAGGCTAGGTTTTAACTTGGGGTCCTTCTGTTTCAGCCTCCTTCAGAGCTCAGATTACGGAACTGTGCCACCAGGTGTGTACCATCAGGCCTGGCTAAAATGTTTGCAACTATCTTGGGTGAATAAGCATTCTCTCAGGAAATCTTGGTACAGCTGTTGACAATCACTGTTGCAACATTCTGAAGCTCACCACTGAAAGCAAAATCATGTAATTATTTAGTTGTAAAAATGATGGTCAGAAGAGCCCATACAATAGAGCTAAACACAAAATTGGTACTAGACAAAATGATAGATGGTAATGAAGTTTGTGCATCATCCTTTATTTTATGCAATCAGTAAATAACTTAATTCTCCTGAGTGGAAAGACTTGGGACTGGAATGTTAGGACCTTCTCTATGCACCACCCAGACATTGTTGAATTCTTTCTATCAAAACACAAGTTGGAAGATCTTCCAGAGAGTAGAAACCAGCTGCTGGCTAATACCATATCAAATGTCCACACATTAGAAGTGTTTGGGAACCCTTTTTAAAATGACATACACCAACTTTTGTTTTGATTCTCATAAAAATATACTTATATAAGGAAATCTGTAGTTTTACTGGGTAACAGTTGGGTGCTTACACACCAAATAGCTAGTGATTTGAAGATTAAAACTTCAGAAGTATGAACAACTGCACTCTTCTCTATCTAAATTTAATTTTTGACTGCCATTATTCTCTCCATCTGTCCAAGATCACACAACTACACTAAAATGTTAACTGTATAGAAATTATCTTAACCATTAATAACTTTTAGAAGTAAGCATTCAATAACTATTACCTGCACATAGATTTTTTTTGAGGCTTCTCTCTGGTACCCTCTTAATTTCAGGACCACTGTACCTAGCAGCATAGATATTTGTTTATTCTGAGGCTTTTGCTTTCATATCCTGCTTAGAATTAAACACAGGATTTCACACACACTGAGTAAGTACTGAGCAAGACCCCTAGACTGTTGTTACTCATTTCCCATTGACTCTGAACTAGATCCTGGCCTGTTACCCACTTCCCATCAACACAGAGATTGACCCTGGCCTGTTACTCACTTCCCATCCACACTGAGCTAGACCCTGGCCTGTTCCTCACTTCCCATCAACGTAGAGATTGACCCTGGCCTGTTACTGACTCCCAACAGAACATGTATTTAAAAGAAAGGACCAAGGAAAGGAAACTATGGACTGAAGAATGGTTCTATCTTTTTGTCTAAAAAATACAATTAGGAATGATTTCATATGAACAGGGCCAGGCATAGCAACACATCCCTGTAATACCAGCATTCTGGAGACAGAGGCAGGAAGGCTGTGAGGCTGAGTAACACAGGGGATTCCAGGCCAGCCTGAGCTGCACAGTGAGACCCTGTCTTCAAAATATCAACAACAGAAGAACAGATGCCAGTTTCAACAACAATTTTGCAACACTCATCATGGACATTCTAACGTGTTTTCCCGCCCCGAGGAGAAGGTGAGCAGGGGTATGCTACAGCCCATGAAATGACATCATCATGTTTTACGACTGAGACTAAACATGATATCTGCTGCTGTTGCAGAACAGTCAGATCCTGGGTGACTCTGTACCAATGCTAACAGTCCCTCACGTGAAGTGGTATCCCTTGATACCACAAAGGAGAAGTCACATTTTGGAGGGTGACACAATGCATGTAATCAGAGCACAGGAAAAGCCCAGAACTTGAACAAGACAGACTTCTACACTGGTACACAGTAAGTAAGCAGAATATGCTTTCTAAGCTTACCTGATCAAGACTGCCTCCATATACTTCATCTGTGCTGACGTAAATAAATTTCTCCACTCTGGCTTCATAAGCAGTATTTACCAAAACATGAGTGCCATAAACATTGACATATGTAAACTCAAAGGCACGGACAAACGAAAGATCTAAAAAGGACAAGAGAAAACCACAATAATTCCACTCACGGGACAAAACAAATACCAAAAGACTAACTCAGGTTTTAAGAGTGCTTCCTTCCCATTACTCACCACATCTGCAACAGGTTTAAGAAACAACACAATACAGGTTGATACACCGGTGGTCTCATGTAGTCCAAGCTGGCCTCAAACTTACTATGTAGCTGAGCACGACACTGAAATTTTATTTTTATATTTTTGGTTGTGAGCCTAGCCTTTAACGGCTGAGCCATCTCTCCAGCCCGAAATTTTATTTTTAATTAATTACTATGTGTGAGCATATGTATGGTGTGTGTGTGTGTGTACCACACCTTGAGTGTGGAGTCATTCTCTCCTCCTTCCATGTGGACTTTGGGGAGCAAATTCAGGTTATCGGGCTTGGAAGGAAGAGCCTTTATCCACTGAGGCATCTCACTGACCCAGTCTTGAACGTCTGATCTTCCTGTCTCTCCCGCCCAAGTGCTAGAAAGACAGGTAAACATAAAGCACAGATAAGTAGTCTGGTCCTTATTTAATTTGGTCATGTGCCCCACTCCTCGTTTAATACTGCACTTGGCACCTGGCAGCCTCAGAGACGCTCAGACTCATACCTGCACTGGGCTACCCTGCTTCTGACTACATGTGCACCCCTCTCTGAACTACAGCACAAGTTCTCGACCCCTAAAAGTAATCAAATACAGATAGTTTCTACTCAGATACATTCCTGATGTATCTGGGTATAAGACAGAAAGGCCAGTCTGGTCTGAACTGGTTTGGGTTGCATGTGCAGTAAGGCAAACAATATCCTCCTAGTAAACTTTTAGGGTCAAGTGTCTATTTACTATCCTATACCCATTGTGGTTGTTTGAATGTAATTGGCTCCCATAATCTCATAGGGAGTGGCACTATTAGGAGATGTGGTTTTGTTGGAGTGGGTATGGCCTTGTTACAAGAGGTGTGTCACTGTGAGGGCGGGCTTTTAGGTTTCCTATGATCAGGATACTGCCTAGTGTCTCAGTTGACTTCCTGATACCTGCAAGGTATAGGACTCTCAGCTACTTCTCCAGCACCATGTCTGCCTGCACACTGCGCCCATGATGCTCCCCATCATGATGATAATGGACTGAACCTCTGAACTGTAAGCCACCCTAGTTAAATGTTTTCATTTATAAGAGTTGCCACAGTCATGGTGTCTCTTTACAGCAATAAAAACCCTAAGATACCTATGCACAATTGGGTGCACCTATGATTAAAATCAGATGCATCATGGGAAGGGACATGCAAATGATTATCTGACCTCATCTATCAAGCAAGACAGACAACCACCAGAACTATGCCCCTTAGTAACCAGCTCCTTTCTGGGGACCTTGAGTACCTTACTCACACGCCCCACTGTCAAACACTAAAACAGGACACGTGGGCAGGCTGGGCTTGTAAGAAGTGGAGGAGTGCTTTTACATGTGATGCTAGTCCCTAGTGTAACCAGTATGGGGCCGGGGGAGCTGAAAACAACAATAAACCCTAAACTAGAAACAAAATAAAAACCACAGGACAAGGGGGAAATACTTGAACATACTGGAGATAAACAGCCCACACCAACAATCTACAAATAATTTGTAAAAACAAGTAAGAATAGTCCTAGAGTAAAATGTATAGAAGACATAAATAGTCTAAACAAATGAATGGTCCTTATGATGCTCAACTTCACTTATAATGAAGAAAACTCAAATTTAAAACTTATTTCTCAGACTAGCAAAAAATAAAAAAAACTGACAAGAGGGGTTATAGATGGTTTAGTTGTTAAGAACATTTGCTTTTTCAGAGGACCCAGGTTTGATTCCCAGTACCCACAGGGTGGCTACAAACCATCTGAAATCCAGTTCTAGGGGATCTGATGCCTGTTCTGACCTCCAAGGCTCCTGCGTACATGTGGGTCACTGCTGGAAGCCCCCGCTACCTAAGGCTGCAGTTCACTGTGTCCAGATAGCTCTCTGAGCTTGCAAGAGGACTCTCTCTGCCCTATCTGGACAGTGCCACTAGGCCCGGATGCCTGACCTTATTTGGAAGCTGCCCCTGAGCCTGAGTGCCTGACTTAGCCCATGTGACCTTTGACACAGCTCCTTGCAGAACTCTCCCCTTGCCGCCCATGTGATAACTAGGTGTCGTGCTCCAGCTGTACGGTAGGACCATGCTGCCAAATGCAGATTAGGTGATGCCCCAGTTGCTGTCCCCATCCTCTGTGTTCCCTCACCCTGAAATAAAGCTGAGCTGTCTCACTGAAGCTGACTGTGGAAGGCTCTTCCCCTCGTGCTCACAGCTGGACGAAGCCCTGCATGTCACCTCTGCTCCCTCTGTCCTCATGGACTGGTGGCCAATGGACCACGAGGAAAGGGAGGCCCCAGTGCACATGCATACACTCAGGAGCACACACTTAAATATTTAAAAAACAAGAAAAGATACTTTGTAGGTGAGGCTAAACGGATGGAGGAACATACTTCTGCACACAGTAGTGAGACTACAACAGTGTTTGTCCTCAACCCTCCTAATGCTGTGACCCTTTAATACAGGTCATGTGGTGGTGACCCCCAAGCACAAAATTATTTTCATTGATACTTCATAACTGTAATTTGCTACTGTTATGAATTGTAATGTAAATGTCTGATATGTGACCCCTGTGAAAGGGTCATTTGACTACTGAAGGGTTCACAACCCACAGGTTGAGACCCACTGGCCTACAACAATGTATTCAAACCCAAAGGAAGAAAATCCAGGGATGTGTAGCCAAACTGGTAAGCATTTATCCGTTAATCCAGACCTATGAGCTGAACTTCTCCCCCTAAAATTTATGCTGATGCCTACTCCCATAGTACATTAGAGTGCGATTATGTCTGGAGACAGGTTTTCAGGAGGTGATTCAGTCGAAATGAACCCCTTAAGGTGAACACTAATCCAGATGTGTGCTCTCACAAGGATAACATTTGGACCCAAAACTGAGTGAGAGCCTGAACACAGAGGAAAAGCCACCATGTGAGGCCATAGGAAAGGCAGAGCATGCTGAGAAACCTTGAAGATAAGCATGTAGGGCAGTGTCAAGGGCTACCAGGTTATGCCAAAGAGGACTCAGGAAACCATCAGAACTGCTTCTAGTGGCCAACAGTGGGTGTGAGTGCGGACACCCAGCACCACAAATGACTAAAGCAACAGGAGACAGAAGTTGTGTTAAAATCCAGGAGCTCATAATGGTACTTTGAAGAAAAGAAGAAACCAAGTCATCACCACAGAACCTGGTGCACAGGTAAAAAGAATACGGCAGCGGAGCTCGCTGCCACCATCAGCTGAATCTCAAGGTGCCCTAAGAACTGACATGGAGAACCTGCTCTTAAATTCTGATTTAACACAGGAACGGGAAAAAAAGACAATGAAAAAATCATCATTGCCAAAGCTCAAATATACACAAATCCTGACCACACAAAATAGCACTATTAAAAATAGTAAGACTGATATCTACTGGGACTGAAAGACAAAATGAAACACAACAGACTTAAAGCTTAGCTAAAAACAAGGCTGGGCATAAACAAGCTAAAGGCCATGATCTGGGAGGAGCGCAGAGGTCCGGACTTTACACTCTGAAAGCTAATCACCTTATGTAAGCACAGACTATGTGCTTTCCAAACGAGCAGTGGGAAAAGCAAAGAGAAACGATTCCTCAGCCCAGGCTGTAAAAGACAGCAAGCAGGTAAATATCATTGACGATCAAACAGTTGTTTCAAAAGGAGTAGAATCTAGGCTGAAGATGAAGTCTGTGATAGAATGCTTACCCGGCATGCACAAGCTAACTCACGAAGGCAGAGGAGAGCTGGAAACAACACTACAGAAAGGACATCACCAGATGGCACAGCCACATTCATGTCTACTAAAAGGAGCTCAGGGCAATCCACATCACCAAGGAAGGAAGATCACTGCAGAACTGGGAGATGGCTCAGTGGGTCCGAGTGCTTGCTACTGTTCAAACCCAGCACCACATGCTGTACACGCCTGTAAGCCCCAACTGGGGAGTGCGGACAGGAAGATCCCAGAAGCTCTTTGGCTACCCAGTCTGGTCCAAATAGTGAGTTTCAGGTTCAGTAAGAGACTCTATCGCAGGAGTGAGGCAGAGCACAACATCTCACGTCTTCCTCTGATTTCTGCATGTGCCTACACGGGAACATCTACCTGCACAAACATGTACATGTTCGTGCACACACACATACACTCACACACATGCATACAAACCACACACGTATGAAACATGATAACATAAAGATAAAGGTTTAGTTCGTCAGGAACATACAAGAGATCACTACTTCTCATTTTTCTTACCAAAATATCTCTCATTAAGATACTTCAATATGAAAAAGGTAATAGGCTTTTCTTTAAATGGGCAAATGATTTCAACAGTATTTTATAAAAAATTTAAATTATCAAAAAACATAAAAACACATGTTCTCACTAGAAACTTGGAAAAATATAAACTAGACTCTCATACAAATGGGAGTCCATCCGCCACACAGCGCTGAATTTGGAAAAATGACGAGCATCTGACAAGAGTCAGTGCGACTTCTCTGCAAACTGTTTGCTGCAGCCCCGTTATTGAGGACCCTGCACAGACATCAGACAGGCGGTATACTTAAAGGACATGATCCGTGGACAAGAAAGTTCACAGCACTGCTGCATAAAACTGCCCAGGAGCACAAGTAACCCAATGTCCAACCAGAGTCAAAACATAACTGTGGAGCTCTCTTAAATTGGAATACTGAAACAGCAGAGAAGGAACAAACTATACCCACACCCAACTACCCAGCATTTCACACATGGAAACTGACAAGAAATGTTATAAAAGTCTACATGTCTGTGTACTCGTGTGAGTATGTGCACAAGTACACACATAGTAGAAGATTTTAAAATAGCCCAAACAAAAATAAAACTTTTAGGGCTAAATATCAGTCATCAAAACCACAGAGAAGAGCAGAGGGAAACACAGGTTTGCGTCTGCAGGAAGCGGGAGAGGCAGCAGCCTCTGCCAGCCGGCTCCGCAGCAACGCTGCCTCCTGCTATGGTGAGGGCAAGACGTGGCCACATGACGGCTACTTATTTAACTTCACTTCCAATTCTTCTGATGTGTGTGTATTTCCCAGGAGAAAGGTCAACTGAATTATCAACACAGCATCTCAAATGCACGAAGTGGTACAGATCATGTTAACTGGTATACTGCCACTTGTTGTGGAATATTATTTTAAGATGTGTTCCATTTGTTTATGCTGTGGAGCATTTGTTTAATGATGCAAAGATGTGTTGCAGTCTTTTATGTTGCATTTGTTTAACTCTGTGAAGATGTGTTACTGTGCCTGTCTAAAACAGTGGATGGTCTAATAAAGAGCTGAATGGCCAATAGCAAGGCAGGAGAAATGATAGGCGGGGCTGGCAGGCAGAGAGAATAAATAGAAGGAGAGATCTAGGAAGAAAGAGCAAGAGAACAAGGAGAGGAGGACGCTAGGGCCCAGCCATCCACGGAGTAAGAGTGAAAGTAAGATTACAAAAGTAAGAAAAGGAAAAAGCCCAGAGGCAACACGTAGATGAGATAATTTAAAGTTAAGAAAAGCTGGCTAGCAACAAGCAAGCCAAGCTAAGGCCGGGCATTTATAATTAAGAATAACCCTCTGTCTGTGATTTATTTGGGAGCTGAGTGGTGGGCCTCCCAAAAGAGCTAAAGAGCCAAAACAACTACATTTTGGCATTCCAAGGTGGGGCTGTAGAAAGCTACAGCTACACAAGAAGAACATGAAACAAAATTGAAGCTCATCTTATTCCTTCCTTTCAGAAATAACCATCAGTCTGAATTTGATTCAACTCGACATTTTTTTTTTTTTTTTTTTTTTTGGTTTTTCGAGACAGGGTTTCTCTGTGTAGCTTTGCGCCTTTCCTGGAACTCGCTTAGGAGACCAGGCTGGCCTCGAACTCACAGAGATCCGCCTGGCTCTGCCTCCCGAGTGCTGGGATTAAAGGCGTGCGCCACCACCGCCCGGCCCCAACTCGACATTTTTTAAAGCTATTTTTAATGTCCCATTTCAACACACATGAATTAAAAAGTGATATGTGGAAAGCCCAATTATCAAGGCCGAGGATGTGGTTCAATCAATAAAGTAAGTGCCACTCCACCAGGCAGGAGGGCTGAGTGGGTTCCCAGGGCCCCTGTTAAAAAACAAACCAAGGGAAACAAGCCCTGACTCCATGGGGACAAGTGCTGTTTGGGCACAGCGGGTGTATCCTCTTCCAAAGACTGTGTCACAGTGGGTGTACCCTCTTCCAAAGACTGTGTTACGTTCCTGCTATTCATCCCCGTTCCTGGACTTGGAACTTATTCACTAGGGAAAGAAGAGGCCAGCCATAGCTATAGCATAAAACAGTGCTTACCTACATGTGTCTGTGCAGCAAAATGCAGGACTATGTCTATTTTCTCCATCTCAAACAGCAGCTTCACAAAGTGAGAGTCGCAAATGTCACCCTGCATGGAGAGGCAAACATGGACAGGTGAGGTTTCAGGGGCACTCACATCCACAATAACCAGGTGTACTTTAGCAGCCCTCCTCCATTTCTCACCCCTGAATTCAACAAAAAATGTCTTGAAGTCAACCAAGCAGTCAGGCAAGTATAATAACAATGTGGTTCTTCAGCATCTTAGAACATATGTATTTAATTCCAAGTATTTTTGCAAATATGTCAAGCAATAATGTTGTTGAATACCAACTTCTGTTAAATACTGTGCTGACTTCTATCACATACTTGTAAAGCTAAGATCACAAGGAAATTTTTTAGCATTAAGAAAAAAAAAAAACCGGGCTGGAGAGATAGCTCAGGGGTTAAGAGCACTGGCTGCTCTTCCAGAGTACCCGAGTTCAATTCCCAGCAACCACATGGTGGCTCACAACCATCTGTAATGAGATCTGGTGCCCTCTTCTGGCCTGAAGGCATACATAATAAATAAATAAATCTTAAAGAAAAAAAAGAAAAGCCGGGCGGTGGTGGCGCACGCCTTTAATCCCAGCACTAGGGAGGCAGAGCCAGGCGGATCTCTATGAGTTCGAGGCCAGCCTGGGCTACCAAGTGAGTCCCAGGAAAGGCGCAAAGCTACACAGAGAAACCCTGTCTCGAAAAAAAAAAAAAAAAAAGAAAAAAAAGAAAAGAAAGAAAGAAATCTTTCAGAGAGCTACACTAAAATACATGTAAAATAAGCATAACAACTGGAATAATATTGGGAAGTATGTTTTATCACCACTAACTAAAATTATAGTACTCTGATGCTTGTATGTATTTTTAATTCACATATCTTGTCAATTATTCACAGATTTGCCACGGTACCAAAACTCATATGCAGTTTTGTAAGAGATATCAATCTAAAAGTAGAACTCTCAGTATCATGTAGTATTCTGGAAACTATCTGATCTTTAACATGTTTGTAACACAGAGCATTATGGTTTCTGCATGACTAAAGAGGCATTATCAACAAAGCTTCCATACCTGTATAAATTTGTAGTTTTGTTTGTTAGAAATAGGTTCCAGATTCTTCAAGCTTGCACAGTAATCCAGCTTAAAACAAGAAACATGGTGGGGAAGAAACAGCACACAAAGCAAGATCAGCTCTTTCTATAACAAGTCGATTCAGTTTGAAGATCACAAATGTTAAAACACCCATACAAGAACACATCTTCTAAAAAGGCTTCCTGTATTTTACACCTTTAAAATTTCTGACATCCTAAAAGTAAAAGCAGGTCACTGTTAATTTTCAGAACTAACTCCAAGAGAAACACTGTTACAAATCTCTCTTTAAAAGTGGTCCTGCTCTCGAGGCCAGCCTGGTCTACAGCGCGAGATCCAGGAAAGGCGCAAAGCTACACAGAGAAACCCTGTCTCAAAAAACCAAAAAAAAAAAAACAAACAAACAAAAGTGGTCCTGCTCAAACTCACCTTCAGCACTGGTGGCTAAAAACTAAACACATTTAGCTCTTGACAGAAAAGGAACTATCGATTGAAGATAAAGAAACACCTGCTTTATACATCTATAATTCATTACACCTCCTCTAACATGGTAAATCAGTGCATACATTTTAAAAAGAGCTGGTTGGGGCTGGAGAGATGGCTCCGAAGTTAAGAGCACTAGCTGCTATTCCAGAGTTTAGTTCCTACCACCTATCTGGTGGCTCACAACTGTCTGTAACTCCAGTTCTAGAGTTCCACATCCACCACCTCTGGCCTCAGGGGGCAGCTGCACTCATGTGCACATACCCATATACACACACACACCCATCATTTATTATTTATTTTCATTTATATATTTTGAGACAGGGTCTCACTATGTACCCTTGAACCCACAGAGATCCACCTGCCTCTGCTGGTTGTGGTACTGCACACCAGGAGGATTTGCTAAAGAGGCAGATGTGGGAGAATCAGGTGTTTAAGGGCAGCCTGAGTTCTACCTTTAGAGCAGGACAGATGGCTCAGTAGGTAAAGGTACTTGTTGCCACGCCTGGTCCTGGGAGCCACACAGTGAAGGAAAGAACTGACCCTCACAAGTCCTCTTATGGTCTCTCTACATTCAAGCTATAACTCATGTGCCCCTGCCTCCAAATAAATAAATGAAATGAAAAAGAATTCCGTTCACCTGTTCATATAACATTAAGACAGAAAAAAATATGCCAACAGTTAACAATTGTTCTTTGCCTGTACACTTTACCATTGTATTTTATGAAACTAAAACCATTTGTATCTTTTGTTTAAACTAAAAAATCCTATTCTTCAGGGAGACTTCAACCATCACTACAAAACTGTCCAAGACTCAATTAATTTCACTGCTTTTTGTTTATTTGTTTGTAGACAGGATCTCATGTGTTCCTAGGCTGGCCTTGAACTTCTTATATAGTTCAAGGATGACCCTGAAGTTCTAATATCCTGCCTCTACATCCCTAGTGTCCCATTATAGGCAAGGGCCACTGCAACTGGTTTTAATTCTATTCCAATGCTAGTACTCTTTAGTTCTCTGGCACTACTTCTTAAAAGCTCCCTGGCACTTTTTAATGATGAAGTCAGAAGGAGGTCTAATTGTAGTACATGAAGCTCATTTTTTATAACACTTACCTTGTCAAGATTTATGATCATATAGTTGGGATAATCTTCTACTAAGGAGACAATCACATGGGATGCACTACAAAGAGAAAAGAACTTTATGAGTGACAAATGTTTACTTTCCTAGACTCTTCAAAAGTTTTCCTAAGCTGTGGAGTGGTAGGAAAATATCAAGATAACATTTACACTTTTCCAATACAAAAGCAATGATGTAACACACCACACATACACACTTTTAACCCACCTTCTCAACAGAATCTATAAACAAACTCTCACATCCTCCTTGTGACATGTATAACTTTCTGGCCTGGAGAATAAAGAAAAAGCCAGTTTAACCAAATGATGCTGCCCATGAATGCTGTGAGTGTGAGCATGAAAAATGTAAGGTCTAGTCAGAGCAAGTACACTGAGGGTCCAATATGCCCTTTCAGGAGCTGCAACGTAATTATACAAATATTATTTCAGCATAAACACCATCATTTGCCTGTTTATACTGACTTCTGCAACTGCTCTCTTGGTATTAGAAGTTGGCTGTGTAAGCCTGAAATCTCGGGAGGGTCCTGGACTGAAATAAGGCTTCCTGGGCTAATAGTAGTTGACACCATCTTGAAGTTTGGTACTGACAGTGCTTCCTGGGTATCAGTGGATGGACCCTGATATGGAGCTATCTCAGTAAAATGAGCTGCCAGATATTTTTAAACACTTACACTTTGGGTTCTCGGGCGTAATGGCAAGCATTGACCAACTGTAAAGAGGACATTTATACTTGGAGGCCGTTTCCCTCACTTTCTAGGACATTCTTGTGGACCAGGCCTCCCATGAAGTACAGGCACTTTCCCACATCCACACTCCTGTTCATTAAGTGAAACGTGGCTTCCCGGTACCCTTAGCAAAGTGACTGTTGGATTCAAAATGTTAATGCAGTGAATGAGAATCTCTGTATCTTCAAGCCGGAGACACAGTGTTCCATGAGGGTAGAAGAGTTTCCTGTTTATTACTCATGCACTCATCCACTCAACTATTACTGAAGACCTTCATAATATGGACCAGACCTTCCTTTCTGCGGGTGCTTCATGAACATCAGTCTGCCCTCAGAGCTTATACTCTAGAAAAGGGACAAGGCCATAAACAAGTAAACACAAACAATGCTATTTCAGGTCGTGTTAAGTGGGTCTGGTAAGGACTCTTAAGTTGATAATGTGGGTAAATTAACACCTGAACTGAATAGTGCAAACAGCCTAAGAAAATAAAGAAGTGCAAATGTCTCAAGTCAGGAAGGGGCACTAACCTATTGTGGTCCAAGAACCCTGAGGGGGTTGTAGCAAATACAGAAAAGCAAGAGATTAGGTTGGAAAGCAGGGCTTGAGCACTAGAGTCTTCTAGATCTGATAAAGATTTTGGACTTTATTACAAGTCTCACAGAAACCACAAGTATAAAACCTATTTGGCAGCAGCATCTCACTTCCTTAAAAACAGTGACATCTGTGTGAGGAACACGCTTTAAGGGGTCTAAAGAAAACGCAGGGAGATCAATCCGGGGAGGCATAGTAGCAGTGCTCTAAGCAAAAGAACGCAGTATCGGGCCTAACACAGTCGGGGGACAGTGGGACAGTGGTGAGAAGTCCAATGAAGGATAACCTTTGACACAAAGAAAAAGGACAGGCTCATGGGATGTGGGGATGAGCCTCGCACAAGTTGCTTATAATAGAGGATTTGTAAACGTGTTCTTAAAGAAAAAGTGAGTCCCATCACGATCCCACATCGTGTCGAGACGTGCTTTGGGACGTGGTGGTGGGAGGCTTGGCAGAGGGAGCCTGAAGAAAATGCAGAGTTCAGCGTGTGCACCTCAAAAAGTGACAGGTGGTAAACACCTCAGGCACGTTTGAGGAGGACGCTACCACAGCACTCCCGAGTTCCTCTTTTTGCGGGACAGGTGTTAAAGACGTCGCAGTCGCAAAGCAAGCTCTTTTGGTTGGCCGAAAAGTGAGGGGAACTGGGCGGGTGGTCCCGGCCGTGCATTAAGACCCTCCCCACATTGCATCCTCAGAGCCGTGGACCCCTGTGCAAAGACGAGGAGAGCCGCGGGGAAAGGTTAGGTTTGCGGGGAGAAACTTCGCCACCAGCCCCGTTACCTACATGAATCCAGCACCCCCGGTCACCAGGACCCGCTTCGCGTAGCTGCCGGGAGGACCAGAGGGATCCTCCCGGCGCGGCGCCGACATCTTTCAGCTCGGCAGCGCCAGCGCCGTAGAGCGCGCAATCCGGAGACCCCAGGGAAGTACCATCACGACGTTTTGCGACACGTCCCCGCCCCCGACACGTTAAAAGGAAGTCGACTGCAGCTTCCGGGTTCTCCCTGACAGCGGCCCGAGGGGCGGGGCCGGGACCGGCAGTGGCACTGCGCAGGCGCAGGCTCTATGTCTGACCCAACCTGAAATTGGGGTCACTGGGGAGCTAGGTCTGGAACGTGTCCTGGGCAAGTGTAACTGGCATGGGTTACCTCTAGAGATACTTGGACGTTCGGAGTTACGAATGGATGTCTTCATTTTTGTACTTCAGCTATGTCCGTAGGCTAACTCCCCCTGAGCAGAAACCTCGGGAATGTATGCAGTATGGGAATGGGAAGTTGCATTGCAAAATTACGTTTTACTGTTCATCTTATCACAGACTGTGAAGGCTACTTGAAATCATAGTAAAGATGTTTCGTAGACTCCCCTACTGGATCTTACTCTCTTGTCTCGTTTGCTCACTCTGCCCCATCATGGTCCTCCCTGCTCTTACGGTATTACCAGGCTGCTTCTGCCTTGGCCTAGAGGCCCTTTCATCGAATGTCTGCTAGTGTTTACCCATACTCCTTCAGTTCTCAGTTTGAGTGCCAGCCTGTTGGAGTCTTGACTCAATTTAAACAGCAACGGGCACCCTAACCGTGCAGAACCATTTATTTTTCTCTTTCTTAGTGTTTATCAACACACAAGTCAATGATGTAATTGCTCACTGTCTCTGCTCTGTGGAGGTAAGGCCTTTCATTTATCTGGGACCAGATCTATCAGGACAAACATTCATCAGCAAGTAGGTTCATGATGAAATTGCTCATTGCCCCTGGTATATTAGAACTGTTCTGATATAGTCTGCTTGCTCTTCATGAATTCTGAGGCTCTCCCAGTTGGAAATGGTTGGCAGCCATATTCTTTCAGGTGAACAGAGGTGTCAGAAGGCTGTCTCTGGTGTAAGAACGGCATTACTGATCAAGAAGAAAACCACGAGACGAAAGAAAAGGGCTGACAGCAGTCAAAGCCGGGGTTCTGCTTTTCCTTCAGGAACTCCCGACCCCTGGTCTTGGCATATCAATAATACCACTCAAAACTCTAGCAAATTTGGCTTGTCTAAACTTTATTTTAGCAAACAGTGAAAAATGAAGCAACACTCGGGAAGAAAGGTTCAGAGAGCACCACCATGCCACCTAGGCAGTCAGTGTGTACGGAAAAAGATGGGGGGGGGGGGGTATGGCCCAGTGGTTAAGAGCACACACTGCTCTTTCAGAGGAGCCAGGTTGGATTCCCAGCACCAACATGATGGCTAACAACCATCTGTTACTCCAGCTCCAGGGTATTGGAAGCCCTGTTCTGGCCTCCACGGGCAATGTACCCTTATGGCACATAAATACCATGTAAGCAAATTCCTGTACAAAAAAAAAATAGATCTTTTTTATAAAAAGCTAATGTTTAGGAAAGACTTAACAGGTTATATAGATCTAATTGTGCCTTCTCAAAGAGAACCATGATACAATGCATCTTCTATATCCAGGCATAATCGATCAGTTGGGAGTCTGTTGGTTAGCTGAAGCTCACTCAGTTAGGTTGCAGCTAATATGCAGAAATTCAGAATACCATGGCAGTCTCTAGGCAAATTTAGTTTCATACCACATGTATTTGCAGAAGCTTATCTGAAAAGATCCACCTGAAAATATTAACAAAGCCACTTTTCAGTGTTGGGTAATTGGCAAGGAAATTAGGAAGTCAGGATGTAAAATGTTGCTCTATACACTTGACTGTGTGTGTTTTTCTAACCTGCATGAAAATTACTCATATTTAAAAAGAACTAGGGTAATTTTAAAAAGTCTTAAAATATTAATACCCTTATTCCCCTGGGAAGCCAGGAGTGCTGAAAATGTTAATAAGAGATGGGGTTTCTTTATTTAAAGGGTGAGGTATGTTGTGAGCACATGCTTTTGTTATAAAAACATCTTGTTGAATGAAAATCACTTGTACACACTTACTCATGAAATAATTTGGGATTCCTGCTTTCGCTTTCATCAAGACTGTCACAATCTCTGACCTGCAACTTACAACAGAGAAAGTCAGAAGAACCGGAAGTCATTTACAGTATTGCATAGTAAGTGACCTGACAGGGGAGTGAGGTATTCTGGTTCCACGGAAACCCAACTCGGACTCGGGGTGTCAGGAAGGCTTCTTTCAGTATGTTGGAAAAAATGAAACAAAGTGAAGCCACCGAGGAGTAAGAAGCGCTGCAGCCAATGGATTTGCAAATCTCATCAGCACAGAAGCTTGGGGTGTTTATGAAACTGATAGTGTTAAGGACGAGCATAGTTGAGAGATGGACATTTGAAGTATTTAAACCCACATTCAGGAGATGGGAACGGTGGGGGGGTTGGGGGGGAGGGCGGGGGGGCAGGAGGAGGGAGGACAGGGGAATCCGTGGCTGATATGTAAAACTAAATTAAATTATAAAATAAAAAAATGAACCCATATTCTAAAGAGCGTGGGTTGTGTACTAAAAGTGATAAACCCCCTTTGAAAGAAAATGATGCTGAAATGGTGGGGGGTTTTTGTTGTTGTTTTTTTTTTTTTTAGCATTCTGTAACTTTAAAGTCAGAGATGGACGGTAGTTAAGTAGAGTTAATACTGGAGGGAGGTCAGTTGACACAAGCCAACTAAGTGACGGCTGAATAGTATAGTGGCTGCTGCTTCATACCATCACCAGATTATAGGCCGATGAATATTTGATAAGACGTGTAATGAAGGTAGTCGTTGTAATTTTCAGCTGTCTGATGATATAATTCAACTAGACTGGGAACTCTATTCAAGGGAGGAAAAATCGGTTTGGTGCCAAGAGAAGTTAGGCTTTTCAGTTTGGACATATGAAGTGTCCTTGCAGCGTTAAAATGGGCATAGGCGCGGGAGAGAAAAAGCAAAGCCCGTTTTCCAACTTTGAGGGAGTTTTCCCGACAGCAATAGTTCGGCCACGCATTTCTCAGTTCTTTCCTGGAAAGCCTCAGACGTCAATGACAAGCGCGCGAGTGCGCAGTGAGTGGCGTAGGGCGCAGGGGTTACTAGGGTGATGGTTCCCGGCATCCCCGCACAGCATCCCTGGAGGGCTGCATTTTAAAACAGGCGCGAACTAGCGGCACGGCTGGGGAGCGTGGGGACCGGCATGCCGCACGTCCCGCCCACCACGGCCGATGATTGGCTGCCGTCTTCGGCTCGTGGCGGAGATCCCGCGTCTCATTGGCCGTCACTCTCCAGCGCCGCGCCCCCTCGGCCCCGCCCCGCCCCCCGCTGCCGACGTGGGCTGCAGGCCCTAGGCGGTTGCCCGGCGCGCGGTGGAGCGGGCTGCGGGCATGGGCGGCCTGCGGCTGCTGGCGGTAGCCCTCACGTGCAGCTGCTGGTGGCCGCAGGGCGGCCAGGGCAAGACCCTGCGGGGCAGCTTCAGCAGCGCTGCGGCCCGGGACGCCCAGGGCCAGAGCATCGGCCATTTCGAATTCCACGGTAGGTCCGGGGCGGGCCGAGGGATGGAGGCGCGCGGCCTCCCGCAGGCCCGGGGTCGGTAGGCGGCGGCCGCGGCGCCTCCCTCCCGCCACGTCGTCCCGGCCTCACCTGGATCCCCGCGTCGCCGCGGCCCTGCGCCTTCACCAGGCGGCAGCCTACTGCACCTGAAAGCGGTTTCCATTTCCCCGACGCTCCCCGTGCAAACAGGACCGCTCCGCTGCACCTTCCCAGAGCCGGTCCCCAACTCCGCACTTGGCCTCGTTGTGTGCATTTGGGCCCTGTGGTTGTGAGTGAATGTCAGCCCAGGAACCTATCTTGTCTGTAACACCGGTTGCAGGAAACCTACTTGGAGCGGATTTGGGATCTGTCATTTGCCTCAACAGTTTGGTTATCGCGCTACTGTGTGTCTACTGATTTACTGTGTGTCTGGAGTTCATTTGGTGGAAATGCGTTTAAGTGTTTAGAAAAGTTTCGTGGTTGATACGCTCTGGCCTGTCTCAAAGGGCTGCGTTTCATTCTTACTTCCTGGTATCCCCCAGGAAAATCGATAACTCTTTCGGTTGATGAATTTGCAATTCATTCTGTTAATTTTGCCCCAGTTCATTTGCACTCTTAGCTTCAGAATTTTTTCTTGGTACTTTGAATTTGACATAACTGCATTTCAAGTGAGTTATTTCCTTACTGAAGCTCGGATCTTTGGCTTATATGATCAAGTTGCATTACATGCGACTGGATATCAGTGTGCCTACGTAGGGGTCTTAGGAGAAGGTAACAGAAATGAGTGTGGCAAGGAATGTCAGGTCCTGGAAACTTGCCGAATTGATGGTGTAAAAGGATGCTTTAAAAACACAAAAATGGAAGGTTTTACAATATCTGAGAAAAACCTGCCAATTTCCCAAAATCTGAATATGCCTGGGGGAAGGAAGAAGAGACCCTTGAATAAACAGTTTTGTTGTATTTTTGTCGTATTTTCAGTCTCTTAACCTGTGGCAGTCCTTTGAGAACTGACTGTGCTGTCACTATGACTTGGATAGCGCTGATAAATCAAGGATCTGTGGAAGCTGAGATCTCTGCTGTTCATGCCCCACAGAGATACACATAACCCTGATCATGATTACCTTGTGAACACGAGGGGAAACATGAAATAATCTAGGTTGTCAACACCCCAGATGTTGTTCGGGAAGTGTTACAAGCATCAGATGAATGAAAAAGATATGTTACGTGTTGTTTCATAAGTCTCATAACAGATTGGGGAAGGAATATCTCATGTACAGTTTCTCTCTTTTATATATTATGTGCGTATAATTCTCTTATGTGTAGTTCTTACCAAGTTTTGGTCGATTCCAGTTTAATTCAATAAAGCTATGCTGAAACAGAACTGCAGCTTACTATAATTTAAACAGTTAGGACTTTAGAGGCACTTTGTGAAACTTGATACAGTATACCAGCTATTGTAAGAGACTTGCTCTTTATGTACACTGTACACTTTAACTTTTTGAAAAACTTTAACCAAAACAATAATTCTAGTAACAAAAGAACTGAAGAACCAAAAGAATAGAAAATTGTAAAATTTTAAGAAGTCTACTGCTTCACCTCTTCCCTAGCATCCCTTCCCCTAAGGCAACTACTTTTCAATATTTATATACTAATTTTTTAAATTATTATTTTTGTTTAAGTGTGCATTCCTGCATGAGTTTATGCGTGTCACTTTCATGCAGGTACCCTTGGACGTGAGAGGGAATCAGATCCCCCATAATTGGAATTTCAGATGGTATGAGCCGCCACAGGGGTGCTGGGAACCAAACCTACGTCCTCTGCAAGAGCAGCAAATGCTCTTAACGATGGAGCCATCACTTTAGCCCCTGAACTGGGGTCTTCGTTTGTTGTGCAGCTGAGCTCACTTGTTATTACTCTTCCAATATATCATTCTAAAAATTCTTTTGTAAAAGTCATAAGTGTAAAAATATGTTTGGGGTATAAAATAGGTACCCCAAACACATATATTTAAACTTATTACCTGTGTTTCATTTTCACATTAAATTATAATTAGGGGCCGGGTGTGGTGGTGCACACCTTTAATCCCAGCACTTGGGAGGCAGAGGCAGGTGGATCTTTGTGAGTTTGAGGCCAGCCTGGTCTAGTGAGTTCCAGGATAGTCAGAGCTACACAGAGAAACCCTGTCTCACAATGCCCTCCCCCCCCAACAAAAATATATATAATTAGATACTAATAGCGTATTATGTTTAAAAAAAGATACTTCAGCAAGAAGTCTTATAGATTATGAGCAAATGTATACGATGAATGAAGTGGATTGTAGAGTGAAGCAGTAATTCTGTGATGATGAATGTCCAGGTGTCCCAGATCATGCTCTTTATTCAGTGAACCGTTATCATTTGCCACTAGAGCTGAACAGATACGTTCCATGTTGGGTAAACCGTTACACCCGAATGAGGTGTTCATTATGCTGTGGTTAATTTACATAAATGGGATTTAAGAAATTAAATTCCCATATTGATACATGGAGGTACAGACTTGTCCTACTGCCTTAGTTCTTTATAAGACCAAACTAGTTGATAATTTTTGTTTTAATGTCAAGGTGACCATGCGCTTCTGTGTGTCAGAATCAACAACATAGCAGTGGCCATTGGAAAAGAAGCTAAACTCTACCTGTTCCAAGCCCAGGAATGGCTAAAGCTACAGGAGGGCGGTCCTGGGTATAGCTGTAGTGAGAGGTTATCCAGAGCTCAGCTGACAAGTGAGTATTTCGGTTTTTTCTTTGACCATTAGATGTGTTCCCACCCCCCTTTAATGTTGAAGTATAGTACAACATGGTAGATATATGTATATACTAAGATATATGTGTGTGTGTGTGTGTGTGTGTGTGACTATATACACGTAACTGATGATATGATACTTTGGATGTTATGTTTTCAGCTGCATTGTTCAAAAGCTAACCATTTCTTTGTTCAAAGGATAGAACAAAAAAATAAAAGGATTTTCTCCTTTTATTGATCAAAGAGTTTTTAAATGTCCAAATAATTTGTAAAGGAGTCTTCATTTGTACTCTGTGGTTTATGTAGTTCATGCTAATATGCCAGATACATTTTTATCTGGTTGTAGTATGCAGTGAATAACATTGACTAGGTATTACCTGCCAGCACTTCACTAAACACTAACGTGTTATCTCATACAGTTTAGCCCAAGCGATGCTGTTTGATAGCATGCCATTGAGACTTAGTTGTATGATGGTGGAAAAACAGTATCTATTGCACCACGTTACTTAGGGTTTGCCTCACGAGGGGCCTTATCATCGCTCTCATCCATTTTTTTCTTGATTCAGTGTCTCATGATTAGGATGCTAGCCATTGAGAGAGAAAGTGGGACTTTTATAATTTAGGAATGAAGTACATATACCACTCTACCTGTTATACCCCTGAAATTAACTGCTTGCAGGAGACATGGTTAAAGAATCTGTATTAGTTTCTTTTCTATTGCTGTAATAAAACACTAGTACCAAGGCAATTATAAGAGAGTTTAATTGGGTTTACGGTTTCAGAGGGCTAGAGACTCGGCTGGCAGGCAGGCATGGTAGCAGGAAGCTGGAGCAGTAGCTGGGCGCTCACATCGTGATCCACAGGCTACAGGCAGAGAGCACACTGGAATAGCACAAGTCTTCTGAAAACCTCAGAGAGCTCCTAATCTTTCCCAAACAACTCCATCAACTGGGGACCAAGTGTTCAAATATATGAGTCTGGGAGCACCATTCTCATTCAAACCACTACAGCGTCCATGAGAAAGAGCAACCATCCTCTTCCCTTCTTCTCCTGTGTTCATAAGCATCGTCCTCATGCAGAATTGTGCTGGTTCTCTCATAGCCAAGCCAGGTAGAATGTCCCCATTCTAAATATCTAGTCAGCTGTCTGAATGTGTAAGCAACGAGAGCAGGAAAGAAAATAGTTCCCTGGTCACCGGTATCCATCGAGGATGTTTGTTACCTAGATTATTAGCTGATATCAGTGGTATGCTGAAGAGATCGGAGTAATATTACAGACATTTACGTCAACCCTAAGTCTCTGAATTTATCTTGAAATTTGTACAAATCCCTGTGTTTCCTTTCCGTCATGTTTGCTCAGCTCTGCATCTCACATGTGTACAGAAGTCCTCCTCCTTTGCTCTTCTGTGCCTCTAGTGTTCAAACCGAGCTCCCTCTCCAACTTTTCCATCCTACTCTTCAGCGCTTCTTGTTTCTGGAACTGTCCGCATCCATCTCCTCCACTTCAGTCCTGGGGGTTTGCTTCCAAATCCCTTTTGAACATGTGCTCTCTGGCCTGGAACTCACTCTGTAGACCAGGCTGTTCTCGAATTCACAGAGTCCGCCTGCCTCTGCCTCCCGAGTGCTGGGGTTAAAGGCGTGTGCCACCGTGCCTGGTCACCAGTGGTCTCTCTACACGGCACCTTCGGTCATGGTGCCTTTGCTTTGTCTCCACACCATCGAAGAATTTGAGTGTTTTCCTGCTCCTCTGGTGCTCGCAGGCCCCGAGCTTGATCTGCAGAACCCTGGCATCTCTGCTGTGTAGCTTCATCCCTCAGTGTATTGTCTGTGCTCAGTTAATGCTCTCACAGGCCTTTGCACAGGCTTTCCCTTTTCAGCTGCTGTTCCCTCAGCTCTCCCTCCTTGACTCCTCCTGTTTTCCTCAACAGCATTTATCATGATTCCTACTTCTTGTTTTAGTTTTTCAAAATTCGGTCAGTAACAGCAGTACCATAAACTGCATGTCCATCCATTCGTCCCTTCACTGAGCAGCTGTGTGGTCACATGCACAGTGCTAGGCATGACTAATACATGGGTAAGCACAACACAGACAGTCCTTAAAGGTGATGGTGCCAGGAATACATCAGATCAGTGTGAGTAAACACACGGTTAGGGCTGGAGAGATGACACAGGTGTTGAGTGCTTACTGTATAGCTGGGGTTTTCTCTGTCCCACCTGGCCCTGCAGTCCACAGCCTCTTATAAAATAATCATTCAGAGACTTAATATTATTTACAAACTGTATGGCCTATGGCAGGCCTCTTGCTAGCTAGCTCTTTTATCTTAAATTAACCCATTTCTATTAATCTGTGTTTTGCCATGTGCTCCATGGGTTTACCAGTCTGCTGGCATGTTGCTCCTTGGGTGGCAGGCTGGCTTCTCTCCAGACTCCGCCTTTCTCTTTCCTGTCTCTCTCCTTGGATTTCCCATCTGCCTCTAAGCTGCCTTGCCATAGGCCAAAGCAGCTTATTTATTAACCAATGGGAACACCATATATTCATTGTGTACAGAAAGACATCACCCAGCAAGGACCTGAGTTCCGTTCTCAGCACACTGGTCGGATGGCTCACAACCTCCTGTAAGTCCATCTCCAGGGCATCTGACACCTGATCTCTGCAGACAACTCACTCATTTACAGAAACCCAACTTCCTCTCTCTCACACACACATGTAATTAAAATTAATAAATCTAAAACAACATGCCATGAAATTTCAGTTACAGTAAGTGCAGTGAATATTGTTTACAAGGTATACTGTGGAATGACAATTTATGAGACCTGGTGTTAGTGAAATATGTGTTTTATAAGTGCCTGGAGGATGAGCAGTCCCAGTGCCTCGTGCTTGGCTAGCAAGAAGGGAAGTTTGCCAGTTGATTTTTTTTTTTAATCTTGTGTTACAGAAACTTTTTCTTGTTCCAGTATACATTGTCAGCTGTTTAAAGCCTTGGGCTTTGGCGCTGTCACTTGGTTTCCTGACACCACGTGGTCCTTATTGTACCATATTCTTTATCCATTTACAGAAGCGCCATTTCCTGCATTGCCAGAGTGCAAACCCACAAATGGAAATCACTACTAGTGACTTGTGAAACCTGTGCTTTGTAAAACAAGCAGATTGGTCTGTGTTTAGGTCCCTACCCACTCTGAAATGCTGAAGCTGGAATTACTACCTTTTTGGGGGTTTTTCAAGACAGGGTTTCTCTATGTATCCCTGGCTGTCCTGGAACTCACTCTGTAGACCAGGCTGGCCTCAAACTCAGAGATCCACCTGCTTCTGCCTCTGAGTGCTGGGATTAAAAGTGTGTGCCACCACTGCCTGCTTGGAATGACTATTTTTCAGCGTGGAGGTAGACGTGGGGCTGTAACCTAATGAAATCTTTCGCCTTTTTTGGTGTGCATCTATTTTCCCTTCCCCATTCTTTCAAAGACGGGAGTATTTTTTGGAATTATGAAATGAAAGATAACAGGGGGACTGGAGAGATGCCTCAGTGGCCAAGAGCACTTGCTGCTGCTCTTGCAGAGAACCTGAGTTCAGTTTTAGCAACCACGTCCGGCAGCTCCTAACTCCCTGTAACTCTTGCTCCAGGCAATCTGATGCCTTCTTCTGGCATCTGGGTTCACCTAACGTACGTACCATACATATATCAATTCAAGCAAAAGAGAGATAATAGGAAATAGCAATTTTAGAGGAATGAATATTATTTTGTTAAGTTTGAGGACCTAAAATAAAGTACTAAAAAATATGCTTATCTGTATTACATAGCTTTTATATATTTTTTACCTACATATTTTGTGTAAAACATTGTGTTCTAGCTAGGCAGTGGCACACTCCTATAACCGCAGCACTCAGGAGGCAGAGGCAGGTGGATCTCTCTGAGTTTGAGGCCAGCCTGGTCTACAGAGCAAGTTCCAGGACAGGCTAAAGTTACACAGAGAAACTCAGTCTCAAAAACAACAACAACAACAACAAAAACATTGTGTTCTAATTTGCTTCTCTGTTGTAATTAAGTCCATGACCAAAAGTTACTTGGGGAGGAAAGGGTTTATTTCAGCTTACAGATAATAGTCAATCATCAAGAGAAGCCAAGGCAGAATTTAAGCAGGGCGGGAACGGAAGCTGAGACCATGGAGGAGTACTGCTCACTGGCTTGCTCCCCATGGTTTGCTCAGTCTGCTTTCTTATGCAACCCAGCACCACTTGCTCATGGAGAGGGTCACCCACAGTGGGCTGGGCCCTTTCTCCTCAACCACCAATTAAGGAAGTGCCCTACAGACTTGCCCACAGGCCTGGGAAGTAATTTCTTAACCTAGGCTCCTTTTTCAGGATGATTCTGGCTGTGTTGAGTCGACAAACCGGCTGGTGTATGTATATTTTATACATGTATGCTTTATCAATTTTGTCAATTTTTTCAACAAAATCCTAGCTTTAAAATCTGTTTTAATCTTTTGAATTACTAATGGTCATATTTATAATATATTGCTACTCAGGAGCCTTCAGTGAAAAAGGCATATTCATTGTTTCATGACACTGTAATAATAATAATTACTCTTAATAATAATCCCTAGGAACAAGTACATTTTCAGACTAGTAATCTGATTTTTACAGAATTAACAACCTTAATAAGCTCGTTATTTTTGCCCTGCCCTTACTGCTGGTACACATTGAAAATAAGGATCAATCTGAAATACCTGTGCAGAGTGTTGCAAATAGATACCCTGGAACTGAGTTAGGGGTGGTTGTGAGCACTTGTGGGTTTTGAGAATTGAGCCCAGGTCCTCTGCAGAAGCAACAGTGTTCTTAGTCACTGAGCAATCTCTCCATCCCCAACATAAAAGATGTGTGTGTGTGTGTGTGTGTGTGTGTGTGTGTGTGTGTGTGTTGTTGTATAAGGATTGAGTCTTGTTGATACAAAGTAAGTGAACTGCCACTAAGGTATGCCTCCAGCTCAGGCTTTTTTTTTTAAACTAGAAACTACTTTGTCCATTTTAGCTAAAAACAAGCACACAAGACATTTAAAGACACTGAAAATTAGTATAAATTTATTTAAAAACTAACAGATGCCAAATAATTTGTTGTCAGATCAAGTAGTTAAATACAATATTACATAGAGAATAATTTGCTCTCATATATCTCATACACATGATCCCTTTTGTGTATTTGGTATACTTTAAAAATCATTTTAGGCATTAGTATTTTACTATGCATTCTGGTTAACAGTATTCATTTCTTTTTATAATGATTGAACAATTAGCCATTCAACACTACTTCAGTGATTCACATTTTGTTAATATTTGAGATACTAATTACACCCTCATAGAACATGCATGCTGTGTTGTAGTCTTTTGTCTCAAAAATAATAACAGTATTGTCATGAGGCTGGCTGCAAAAAGACAGTGAGACAAACCAAATCCAGCGTCACTTTTGGAAGCACTGCTGTGTTTCTGTTTATATGCGTCTGTATAATTTAAAGAGAAGCATCCAGAGCTGCCTCACAGTGGAGATACAATGTCATAGTTTTATGTCTGTCATTGAGACAAAGTCTAAATGTAAACACAGCAACATGACAGAGACTTGTTTTGTGAGGACATGCCCACATTTGAGCAGTCTCATTGAGCCATGTATTGATGTCATATTAAATTCTTACTAAGAGCTTTGAGAATTTGACACCTAGAGCTAGAAGCTGATGCAGAGACCATGAAGGAATGCAGCTTACTGGCTTGCTCCTCCTGGCTTACTCAACCTGCTTTCTTACAGAATTCAGGACCACCAAGCATAGCACCACACACCTGGGCTGGGCCCTCCCCCATCAATCATTAATTAGGAAAATGTCTTACAGCCAGATCTTATGGAGGTATTTTCTCAACTGAGGTTCCCTCCTTCGAGATAACTGACTTGTGTCAAGTTGGCACAGTACTGAAGCCAGCTCCCAGGACAGACCTCTGTGTCCCAGCCTTCGTGAGTCTGTCCTTCGTATCTCACTCCCGTGTACGGATCTGACCCAGAATCGTTGTCATTTCTTTTTACTTCTATTAGTACCTTTGGAAAAGAAAGACTAGTTAGAAGAAACATTTTTTTAAACAGGTACAACTTTTGGATATAAGGATTTTCCTAGCAAAAGATTCCATTTTAAATTTAAATTAAGGAAGTTACTTCCAAAACTGTGGTTGCAGCTGCTACATGCTGTGATCATATGGTTAAAATGATTGTTTGGTATATATTTTACCATATAAAATAATTTTTAAATGTTGCTAACCCACTAAAACTTTGTAAATATTTATTAAAAATTCAGTTTCAGTGAAACCATTTCTCTTTTGTGGTATGTTATTGATACTTTTATAGTGATTTTATTGCTTAAATTATTCATTTTAGTCTGCTTTATAGTCTCTATGCTTTATTCTAATATTATACCAGGGCTTGAATTTTTGAGGCAAAAAAAAAAAAGATTTTAAACTCAAATTAATTCTATTACTAAGACATTGAGAAGATTGCTTTGAAAGGTGCTGTTTTCTTTCTCTCTCAGTGACAATGAACCAGACAGAGCATAACCTGACGGTGTCCCAGACTCCGGCTCCCCAGACATGGCATGTGTTTTATGCAGACAAGTTCACCTGCACAGATGACACGGAGAGTCCCCAGCTGGAAGAGATCCCATTTGAAATGGTGTTACTAAACCCAGATGCTGAAGGAAACCCATTTGACCATTTCAGCGCTGGAGAATCTGGTAAGATGTGTGTTTAAATGTATCCTAAATACAGAAGAGATTTGAGCACAGGTATCTTCATTTTACCTTCTTAGAATATTAAAAACGGAAAGCAGCTGAAGTTTAAAAAAGCAGAATGCTAAATTTTATATAGCTTGACTTTGAGTATATTAAAGACAGAAAGTAAAACAAATTATAAAATATTAACAGGTAGTTGTATATACAGGTAATAGAATCATATAATTTTTAGTTTTCTTTATACATTTTGGCTTTTTTTTTTTTTTTTTTTTTTTTTTGGAGACAGGGTTTCTCTGTGTAGTTATGGTGCCTTTCCTGGATCTCTCTCTGTAGCCCAGGCTGGCCTTGAACTCACTGAGATCCGCCTGCCTCTGCCTCCCAAGTGCTGGGATTATAGGCGTGCGACATTACCACCCAGCAGCATTGTTTTTATGATCAAAAATGTTAATGAACTGAACAATCTACTTTAAGGTATAAACTAAACTACCCTTCCCTTAGTTTTGAGCAGACTTAGACCTTGCTTTTCTGGGTTCTTAGGTAGTAATGATCAAGTCTGTGGTGTTTTCTGGAATCAAATTTATTCCCACAAGTCTTCGTTAAAATTTCAGGTCACTGTGCCTTGCCCTACTGAAATGAGATTGTAGCCACGTAGGAATGATTGGCCAGAGCATGGTGAATGTCCTCTAAGGGTGACAGATTTGTCAGTTCACATGCTGGGGTAAGCATCTATGTAGGCCCCCTGTCAAGGAAAGGGGCTTAGGGTTCACTTCCTCATGGTCACTGGCCATTTGAAGAAGTCAATAAAGAAAATGCCATTGGGTCTTGTTGACAATAAAGCAGTTGAATTGAACAGGAGTAAGGCCACATTAGACTTGATTGATTAAGTTCAGTGTATGAATATCACTAGAGAAACAAATCAAAGCATGTGTAATAGCAGGTCACAAATGGAATGTGACAGGGTGAGTCTTAAAGTGTCCTTTGATTTTGAAAACATTTAGAATGACAGTGGGGGCACTAAGTGTCTTAGAGTAGTTTTAAAGCATTACTCTGTCAAGGAAATAACAGCCATTCAAGATGTTTGTGAGCACAAATTAACTTAGGCTGTGTTTGGCTAATGACACCATAGGCTGTAGACCGTTTCTGGAAGTCAGTCTGCCATGCTTTATCCTTGCAAGCCATGCCAGTGGCTGTTCTCAGTACTGTAAGATGACATTGGTGAAGCCCAGGCCAGTGGAGAGCACTGGGCATGGGTTTCTACTAACGGCCCTGTGTGGTTGGAGGCCGTTATTTCCCAAACTCCCTTATTTCCTGGGACACTTACTTTAGGACTGCTCAGGCCATGCGAGGCAGTAATGCCCTGCCTGGCCGTGGGCCCTCCCCTTGCTGCCTGCAGATGCTCGGCCTGCAGCTCTCAGAACCTTGAAGAACGCTGTTTTCCTTGTGCTGGCTCCTTTTTCAGTTCCTTTTTCCGCATCCCCAGTTTGGCATCTGCACTTCAACCCCACAGCATAAAGCAAGTCCATCTGCTGCGCTGGGGCCTCCAAATTCGAGTCATCTTGTCCTGACTTTCTCTGAACTTGCCCACACCTCTAATGGTTTCCTAGCAGCCAGGACTTCTGCTAGCTTTTCTTTAGAATTCACACAAATAACTCCAATCTGGCTGTCAGTCCTCGGCTTTCTGGCCTACTTCTTCTGGCTTTTGTTACTGATTTGGTATCCAAAAGCTTATTCTAAAATGGGAAAGTTACACAGGTCATGCCCTGACAATATGTGATTGGTCATGAGATTATGTGCAGAGCCACCCTGCAGGGACTGATTATTTCACAGTCAAAAGAGCCCAAAAGTACCTTGAGTTATTGGAAACCAGTCTATGGCTGGCTTACTTCCTGAAAATTATATTACTTTATCAATTAAAATGCATTAAGCCCTTGTGAGTAGGTCTATATTGCAGTTTAAGTTGGTGATTCTTTTTTTTTGTTTGTTTGTTTTTCTTTCTTTTTTTTTTTTTTTTTTTTTTTTCGAGACACGGTTTCTCTGTGTAGCTTTGTGCCGTTCCTGGATCTCACTCTGTAGACCAGGCTGGCCTCGAACTCACAAAGATCCGCCTGGCTTAAAGGCGTGCACCACCACTGCCCGGCTAAGTTGGTGATTCTTAACCCATCACTATACATATAGAGAAGGTGTATACATATAGAGAAGCTTTTTTATTATTGTTATTTTTATTTTTCAAAAAAAAAATATTGAGAGGCAAAGGCAGACAGACTCTGTGAGTTCACGGCAGGCCTGGTCTACATAGTGAGTTCCAGGACAGCCAGAGCTATATAGTAAGACACCGTCTCAAAAAAACCAAAAAGTAAAATGAAAAATAAATTCACTTCTCCCAAGACTCAGACTTGTTTTGGGTTGTAAGCCAGGCATTGAATCAGAGCTGAGGTTGCTTCTAATGTGCAGAACCACTGTTGTAGAAAGCTGTGTCCCACATCCTGAGGGAGATGTGCTGGTTTTATGGTACAGGTTAAGAGGGCCCTTCCTATTGTGTAGCCTTGGTATAGAATTTGTTTCCAGGGGATAGTCTCCAGTTCTTTTAGAAACCTGTTTGTCATACGTACTACAGACAACATACCATTAATGTTGCATGCTATTCTCTTTAAATTTACAACTGTTTCCTTTCCTTTGGTCCAGTTAATGCATTCTAAATCTAGACTTTCGTTAATCCCTGATTCGTAGTTAAATCTTATTTTACAAAACTAACTAAGGCAAATTTGATGGCTCTTAACAAACTACTAAGTAGGAATATAAGACTTTTCAGGTAGAAAAAAATGAAATGGCTCCTTTAAAAGATTAATCATGAGTTTGAGAGGGGGTGCAAATGGGAGGAGCTGGGGGGGAAGGAGGTGGAAATGATATAAATATATTAACTCATGAAATTCTCAAAACATGAAAAAATTAAAAGATTAAAATTATTAACTATGTTTTCTGCTTTTCTTTGAAGTACCTAGACTCTTGAAAGCATGTTGCCTAAAGCAAACAGCTGTTTGGGTTTTTTTTTTAAGATTTATTTATTTATTTTTTTAACGTACACTGGGGTTCTGCCTGCATGTGTGTCTGTGCCAGATCCCCTGGAACTGGAGTTATAGACAGCTGTGAGCTGCCATGTGGGTGCTGGGAATTGAACCTGGGTCCTTTGGAAGAGCAGTCAGTGCTCTTAACCACTGAGTCATCTCTCCAGTCCAAACAGCTGGTTTTTATTGAAATACTATTATAGGCTTTGCTATTTTGTCTAGATTTCAATAGATACATTTATGCTTTTGTTTTCCCCTTTCCCCTCCATGTTCTAAAGATAAGTGCTTAGCTCTAGTAAAGTGTTGCAGCTGCGGGGTACTAAGTATCTTAAGAAAAAAGTCAGGTGGTAGTGGCACATGCTTTTACTCCCAGCACTCGGGAAGCAGAAGCAGGCAGATCTCTGAGTTCAAGGCCAGCCTGGTCTACATAGTGAGTTCCAGGACAGCCAGGGCTACACAGTGAAACCCTGTCTCAAAAACCTAAAAACTAAAAATTAAAAAAAAAAGGAGCCGGGGTTGGGGGGGGTTGGGGGGGGGGTGGGGGTAGGAAGACAGACAGAGAGACAGACAGAGATGTTGTGGGCCTGACCAGGCGCACACATCTTTGCTGTGTCGGCCCCATCAAGTTTCAGTGTTGGAAATCATCGGATGGTTTTGGAATCTTGATTGAAATCATCGGATGGTTTTGGAATCTTGATTGGTGTTGAGACACTTGAGGGAGGGAAGAGCTGGGCTCCGAGGCCAGAGGCAGGCTGGACAGGAATGTGCCCCTGTTCTGTGCCCCTGTTCCGTGCCCCTGTTCCATGCCCCTGTTCCCTGCTCTTCACCCTTTTTCACTCTCGATGAAGCTAAGGCTACTGGAACTGCCGTCTAAGCGTCCTCTCTACTCCGTCTCATCAAGGCTTCTTTAAGGCTCGCTTCACAGTCGACACATTCCCTGAGTGTCCACCATCTGCTGTGTGCTCCTCTGAGAGTTCTCTTTAGTGTGCATTGACTCTTAAGACTTAGTTACCCACCTGTTTTAAAATGAGATTTTAATTCCAATGTGAACAACACAAATTGCTTTCTTGTGACTTGTAACTGCCAGAGGCAAAACAAAAGTAAACTTGGTAGCTAAAGAGAAAACAAAGACATGTCTTAGAGCTGATCTACTTAAAAGGAAAAATAATAATAAAGCCCAGGTCGGAGAGCCAGCATTTTTATCTTTAAAGTATGTTATGGACAGGCTCAAGGTAAGACTCACTTATCAAAGATTTAGTTAACAAGATTTGAGTCAGTGTCTTAGTTTGGTTAATATATTCACCCAGTCAAATATTTTTCTTTGTTTTCTATAATCTTAGCTTCTTCAGAGAGATATATTTACCACCAAATAAAGTCCCTTTGTCCTTAAGTTATTTTGGCTTCTCAGTAAAGAGTCATGATTTTCTTGTCATGTGGATCTGTTTCATAATGAACCCTGACACCTGATCCTGGTGTGGGTGCTTTATGAAATATTACAAAGAAAAAAAAACTTTCAATAGATGCTTTGTGTGCTTTGTATAATTCTTTAACACAAAGAAGGAAAAATTAAAAACTGAGATCAAAACAGGGCTAGCGTAAGGAATTTTATTGGCTCACAGCTTTGAATATATTGGTAGCATCTGTGTTTCCTGCCTTGTTCCAGTACTATAATCTAAGGATTACGGTGTCATCATTCTAAAGTGCAGTCTCTCTCTATAAAAGGAGCTTACAAGCTGTTCCCCCTCCTCACAATTGACGGTTCTTCCTGCCAGCTAACCTGGCTTCTTTTCTGCATGGCAATGTGTAGCTCCTCATTGCATAGCAGAGCAGGAGAGACACCCAGTGGTAGGAGAACTTCTTACTCCTGTTGGTTCTCTTGCTGATGGCTCCAGAATCATGAGTTTGAGCTGTTTGTTTGCTCTTTTTACTGGGATATGTGTCTCGTGGTTTGCTTTTCCAAAATGATTTTTTAAAATAAAAAAGTACCTTCTTTTTTCTTCATTAATTGGCATTTAACTGAATTGGGAAGCTAGAGCAATCTCAGACTTCTCATTGGAAGGGGAGCAAATCCAAGTCCATCCACAGACTCAGTAGAGAGCTCTCTGTGTGCAGCCAGTATTGCACACTGGTGTTCGGTAGAATGTAAAAGCCCTGCTCTTGGGGACTACTGTGGGTTTGACTCAGTACAGCTGACTCTCCATATCAGCAGATTCCACGTCCATGTGTGCAGCCAGCCACAGATGAACAGTATCATGTGAAAATTGGTCTATATGGAAAACATGCCAGCTTTGTTTGTAGCATGAATCTTAAAAGTTCTTATTAATAAAATCAAACCTGAGCCAGGTATTGGGGTGAACACTGGAAGGTCAGAGAGACAGAACAAGCCACAGCTAACCTCACCTGGCCAACTTCTCAGCTGGTCTTGTTTCATCAGACTGGAAGCCTCTGTGTCCTCATCCAGAATGAATCTCAGCTGAACTGCTGCTCGAAAGCCTGAAAGCTTAACCAGCCAAATGCTTCTAGTTTCTGGTCTTCACGCCTTATATACCTTTCTGCTTTCTACCACCACTCCCTGGGATTAAAGGTTCACTTTCTGGGATTAAAGGCATGTTGTGTCACCATGCCTGGCTGTATCCTTGAACACATGGATCTCTGCCTCTGGAATGCTAGGATTAAAGGTGTGTGCTACCACTGCCTAACCTTTATGTTTAATATTGTGGCTGCTCTGTCTCTGACCCCAGGTTAGTTTATTAGGGTGCACAATATTTCGGGGAACACAGTACCACCACATGTGTTCTTTTCAGTATTCCCTCAACAATACAGTATAATGCCTGTTTATATAGCACTTACGTTGGATTAGGTTTTGAAGATAATCTACAGGTGATTTAAAGTGTATAGCAGGATATGCATTGGTTTTTATACATAAATCCCATGCATTTTATTTAAGGGACTTGAGCATCCATGGGTTTTGTTTGATGTCTGAGAGATTCCTGGGACCAGTCCCTCTTGGATTGAAAAGGAAAACTGAATCCTGTAAATTCACAACCATGAAATTCCCAGTCTTCTAACTGGAAATTTATTAGAATTTTTTTCCTGAAATCTCTCAAATAAAACTCTAAACATTAATTTTAAGTACAGAGAAAAGATGCGGGTTATTGTGAGGTCACGTGAACACTACAGGAGACCGTGCAGAAGTGACGTCATGAGTGGCACCGTTTTTAGTGTAGCGCCTGCATTCTTCCTTGGTTCTGAACTTTGCTAGTCCTCTTTGCTCATGTTCTGCTCACTCAGAACTCTGCATCATCACTGCCTGCTTGACTCTGGCAGAGTCCAGCATTAGCTCTTTCCACCTTCAACGTTGACGTCTGACTTTCTGTAGTTTGTAATTTGATTCTGAAGAGACAAAATGACTCATCTAACTTTGTTCTTGGCCACTTGGAATGGTGGTCATTTGTTGTCATAGTTCTACTTCATGTTGGCATGGAGTCACCTGACTGCCAGAGGATTTCCTCTTTGGCAGTAGCTACAGAAAGTACCAGACAAGAGGGCTCTGGACATAGATGTCTTAAAGTTTTGCCCAAATGAAAATTCAAGGTAATAGAAACTCCCCAAACTGATTCACATGTGTTATTATCAGAATCACCATAGGGCTTTCCAAACAGACTGCTTGGCTTCACCCTCCAGTTTCTGGTTCGGTGGATTAGAATTGGGACCCAAGAATTTCCATCACAAGTTCTGTGGTGATGTGGCCGGATCAGGGACCACACTTGGAGACGCATAGTCAAGGTCTACTAAGCTACTGGCGACACTAAATGTTCTGCAGTTCTCAGAAAAGACGTGCACTTTGAGCTTCTGAAGTGTCTCTAACTGAGCCCTGAAGTCGCTGCTGGCTGTGTTCAGACAGAACAGAACTCTGGTTACAGTGAGTCGCATCCTTGAGTGACTCTGTTCTGCAGGTTGACTTTAGCTGCTTTGTTTTAAGTTGCCTTCTTAGAGTTAAAACTTGGTCCCGGGGGAAGAGGTTAGTAATTTCCATCTTTCTTCCTTACAAGAAGAATGCTATGACTCCAGTTGGAAAGATGAGCTCTAGGGTAACTTGACAACACTGTCGTACTGAAGCACTGCTGTTCTTCTCTCCACAGGGTTACACGAGTTCTTTTTCCTCCTCGTCCTGGCGTACTTCGTGACTGCGTGCGTCTGTGCACAGGCGCTGTGGCAGGCCATCAGGAAGGGAGGACCCATGCACACGGTCCTGAAGGTCCTGACCACAGCACTGCTGCTCCAGGCTGCCTCGGCCCTAGCCAATTACATTCACTTCTCCAGGTAACTCAGCCACTGTTCGTCGTCCCAGCTAATGTGTCCTAGTTAGTCCACAAAGTTAGCCGTGCTCGATTAGGAGCGTTTTTTTCCCCATTGGTAATTTATATTAATGCTCTCCTCTTCAATTCCTCAGATATTCCAAAGATGGAATAGGGGTACCTCTTATGGGAAGTTTGGCGGAAGGTGAGAATCTTTCTGAGTACTTTTTCAAAAATAAATTTGCCATCTTCTTTAAAGAGAGAGAGAGAGAGGAGAAAGAAGGAAAGAAAGAAAGAGAGAGCTGGAGGGAGAGACACAGAGAGACAGAGACAGAGAGAGAGAGAGACAGAGAGAGAGAGACAGAGAGAGAGCGCAAGCCAAAGGACTTCATTTTCAACTAATGGGGTAACTCAGTAGTAGAGTACTTGCCTAGCATTGAATGAGGCCCTGGGTTTGATCTCCAGCTCTGTGTATTGATGGTGATGATGATGATGATGGAGGTAATGGTGATGATGGTGATGATGGTGGTGGTGATGATGATGATGATGGAGGTAATGGTGATGATGGTGGTGAAATAATTATTTTGCTGTGGTGTAGTTTTTTCTAGTCACGGTTAGTCAGAACTCAGATAAACAAGACTGGTTTAGTTCTCAGATCTTGTTTGATCTTACTAATAAGTGGTGTGTCTAGCTTAGTTCTTCACTGTTCTTCACATGTGCTTCTTCAGTTTGTCCTCAATAAACGTAGACATGCTTTGCTGACCCCCGTTTGCAGAATCTGTGCTCAGATGTACCAGGCACATTCACCTAGTGAGCTGCAGAGCCCAGATGCAGACCCAGGTTTTCCCGTCCCAGGGGTGAAGGGGTTTTCCTGTTGTAATTCTGTTTTCTCCTATACTCTTTCTCTGTTTCTGATCCAAGACCACGTTCACGCCTATAATTGAGCTGACCTCACATCTTTGTTCTTTTATTTATAAGAGAAACTCTTAGTAATTAAAAAAATTTAAAGGTCTTAGAATCATGACTTTTTTTGGTTTTTCTCTGTGTAACAGCTCTGGCTGTCCTGGATCTCACTCTGTAGACCAGGCTGGCCTTGAACTCACAGAGATCCACCTGCCTCTGCCTCCCAGTGCTAGGATTAAAGGCGTGGGCCATTATGATGTTTCAAAGAGAACTTCTGAGAGCAATCAAGTCATACACCATTCTTTATACTCAGAAATTAATGCTTTGGTAAGCAACAAATGTTGACTATGGAACCATGCTGGAGTTGACTTTTCGTTTTCTACCCATAGTTCTGTTTGAGTCAAGGTGTCTTTGGATAATTGCCATTTGCCTTCTCAGGACTCACTCATCTGGTCTCATCACCTGTTTTGATTCAGAAACTTGAGGATCTTTCTGTTACCTTGTGAGATCCTGGGTACAGTTCACCTTGGACACGAACCCAAGGTGCTTGTCCTTTCTGAACACTGTCTAGTCCTTGGCTTCTCCCTTGTTTTCTGTTGAGCATGCTTGGAGGGTTAATGGAATCACAGTGCTAAGGCAGGACAAAACTGTAGAGATAACTTCAGCAGTTGAGGAAATTGACATCTGAAGAGGAAAGCACACAGCACAGACCTTAGCAGAAACCTCTTCTGAAGACTATCAGGTCTGTTGTATGTGAATCGTTGAGTACCCGACTGTTCTTTTCCTCTACAGTTCTGGGGATTCTAGACTTTTTGTCTGTGAAGCAAGAGCTATGTCCCTTGGTATTTGAGAGGGAGGAGGTCACTTTGTGACTGCCGTTGGGCTTGCTGTGTCGCCGAGGCTGCCTCAGCTCTCAACCCTGGCGCTGTCCCCAAGCCCTGGGATGAAGTACACACCACTGTGTCATGTGTCTCACCGTGCTCTGCACACTAGTGGTTTTAGCTGCAATGACTGATGTTCTGAGTGGTGATGACTCTTCCAACAAAAGAGTTGGCTGGTTAAGTGAGTGAATTCAAGAGAGCAGAGTTCTTATGTGATCTGTGTATTTCATCTATAAATAAATATTTATATACATTTGCACTTTTACAAATATATTTTTATAAATGATTTATAAATATATCTATTTATATATAAAATAACAGGTAATTATTTTCAGCAACAATGAGCATAGGTTTTCCTGTCCAATTATGGTATTTGATTGGTTTTTGTAAACTTGTGTATAAAGAAATGAGCTGGAAAATGAAGGGGATTTCCCCAGGTGTTTGTTTTTGCTACTTAGGAGCTTATATAGGCATTCCTCCAGCCAACTTCTTTATCTGGTTAACTGACTGTATTTGTGAAATGTTTAAAGAAATTAATTCACATCACATTTAAACATTTGTGATGAAAGAAAAATGTGCTTGATCTGACAGGTTGCATCATTCAAGTATAGTAACAGTTTATTGTCAGCATTCACCACCATACATATATAAGCATACATACGTGAACCTTTCCTGGGGAGAAACGTCTCCAGAAAGCACACCTAGAGCAGACCACATCGGTTGCACCCCAGTCTGGCTTGGTGAACCGGTGAATTTGGTTAGGGTAACCTATGGTAGCATGGGCGGCTTGCAAGCTGAGGAAACATAACCACTCCTAGCAACTGCTAGCTGTCTACTTCATCAGGACGGAGTAGGGCACTGTGGGCCTCTCCTCACCTTCCATGATGGGAAGTTAGCAGGCCTAATCTGTGCAGGTCTCCTCAGGGAACCAGAGCTGCCTCGGGCTCAGGGAGGCAAGGCAGTGAATGCCATGTCAGAAGGCGGTGAATGCCATGTCAGAAGGCGGTGAATGCCATGTCAGAAGGCGGTGTGCCCCAACAGCGCGTGTGGAACAGCTGGTTTCAGCGTAGGTAACGGAGCAGGGGAAGTCTGTCAAATGTGCCGGACTCTACTAACAGGTGCTTACTTGAGCCAACATGTACTATTGATAAACTTACGTTGTACCCCGGATGCTTCTGTGTCTCACAGGAAATCTCACCCAAGTGGTGACAGCTGAAAGCGTTAGCTGTGGAGGGGCAGTGCATTACTTTGTGATCACAAGCCATTGGTGTACATGGTGATAAAAAGTAATAGCTTTTATTGTAGGCAGTTATTCATTTATAAGATGAGTATTCACGGAACCTGAAGCATTTATAGATTTTTGTGTACTCATTTGTTTCTATGTCGTGTGCATCTGCATACAGGTGATGTGTTGAATTCTTTTAAAGTAGTGGTGTTCTCCTGCAGTGCAAGTGCTGGCCACCTGGTGGCGCATGGCGCTAGTTCATGGAGCTCTTCATTTGTCTTGAGGATTCCGACGTAAGGGATGTTATGGCTATGAAATCTCATACCATTTCTTTCCAGTTTTAAAAAATATTCCCATATTACAGTTCATCCATCAAACATCATTAGCACCCTAGAAAGGATCCTAATATTTTCCACATTGCAGAAATTATATTTAAAATTTATTTCTTTTGTCAGAATTGTATATAGCAATAAAAGCTTTAAAGAGAAGAAATGAAAAATAACTTTAAGGTTGGACTAATACATAAGATATAATACAGCCATGTATATATGTTTCTAAATGGTAATATTTCCATGTTTCTATAATCAATTACAAATTTTATGTCAAATATTGAATGTGTTAGAACTATTACACATTAATATCTCTTACTGAATTTTCTTAGTTTTTGTGATTTGAAAAGGGGCATTCTCATCTCAATTTAAAATGTGCCCAATTCAAGCCGGGCGGTGGTGGTGCACGCCTTTAATCCCAGCACTCGGGAGGCCAAGCCAGGCGGATCTCTGTGAGTTCGAGGCCAGCCTGGGCTACCAAGCGAGTCCCAGGAATGGCGCAAAGCTACACAGAGAAACCCTGTCTCGAAAAACCAAAAAAAAAAAAAAAAAAAAAAAAAAAAATGTGCCCAATTCTGTGAATTGTGAAGCTTTATTGACTTTGATTTTCCTTTCCCTTTAGTTTTTGACATTGCCTCCCAAATTCAGATGTTGTACCTGCTTTTGAGCCTGTGCATGGGGTGGACAATAGTCCGAATGAAGAAGTCTCAAAGCCGACCTCTCCAGTGGGACTCTACCCCTGCGTCCACAGGCATTGCGGTGTTCATTGTCATAACCCAGGTGAGAGCTTACCCTGCAGAAATGCATCTGAATGTGTCTCACTGCACAGCGGGCACTGGGATTCTAAGAAATGCAGATAACATGATCTCACAAATCTCCTGAGTGCTAGTATGTATAGATAGCAGGATTTGACTTACTAAAAATGTCATTTCCTACTTTTTCTGTTTTCTTAAATATTAAAAGAAATCTTTTAGCATTTTTTGGTGCTGCAGAGATGGCTCAGTAATTAAGAGCCCCAGCTGCTCTTCCAGAGGATCCAGGTTCAATTCCCAGCACCCACATGGTGGCACACAGTCCTCTGTAACTCCAGTTCCAGAGGATCAGATGCCCGTTTCTGACCTCTGCAGGCAAAAAACCTATACACATAAATTAAATGAATCTTTTAAAAAATCATGTATATTCTAAAATCACAGCTCTCTTAAAAATCCAGGGTTTTTTGTTTTTTTTTTTTTTTTTGGTTTTTCGAGACAAGGTTTCTCTGCATAGTTTTGGTGCCTGTACTGGATCTTGCTCTGTAGACCAGGCTGGCCTCGAACTCACAGAAATCTGCCTGGCTGTGCCTCCCAAGTGTTGGGATTAAAGGTGTACGCCACCACCGCCCGGCCTAAGATGCAGGTTTTTTTAAATCATCATTCCATTGTAATTTTAATTTATTGTCACAAACAAATAACCAACTGATAATTAAGATTGACACTGCACGAGACCTGAAGATTGACACTGCACATAACTGTTATCTTCAGCAACAGCCAAACAATGCTAATAATACCGGCAGTCTATCAGTACATAAATGCATACATGTGCTATTAATATACTGACCACATATTAGCACATGTGTATGGAAATACAGACTTAAATATGGAAAACCAACTTATAAGAAATGGTAGTTCTATAATCATACTTCTTTGTTGTAAAAGTCAAGTTTAGAAGTATAGTTTAAGAAACCAGATAGGTATAATTTAGTGTAAGGGAAGAATAGTGCTTTTAGTGATAAACAGTGTGTGTGTGTGTGTGTGTGTGTGTGTGTGTGTGTGTGTGTGTGTGTGTGTTGCGCATGCTTGTGTATGCATGTTTGTGGGGGAAATATGGGAAGTATATGAGCATGTGGGAGGGTATATGGATGTGTGTGTGTGTGTGTTTGTGTGTGCTTTTTTGTGTTTGTAGGATCGCAGGCACATGTTTCCACACCCAGCTTTTTTTTTTTACTGCGAGTCCTAGGATAGACTCAGTCCTTATTGGTGTTGGTTATGGTTGCTGGAGGAGGGGTTGTCACTTGATTCAATGGTGTAGCCATTGACAAGTTGTGCAAGCCTCAGTAAATAGCCTCTCTCCCATGCAAGCAGCCGGAAGTCATGGTTACCGTCTCCAACAGAAAAGACATAAAAATAGGACTGGGTTGTCGGAAGAAGGGTCTCAGCGGGAGGGAGGGTAAAGAGAGTGGAAAAGAGTTGGTTTCTTTATATACATGTATAAAACTGTCAAAGAATAAAAAGAAACTATAACATCCACTCTGTGTGTGTTAGAGTTTAAGTATGGTTACATTCTTAAGTCCATGCTTTTCCAGTCACTCTAGGTAACTTGATGTATGTAAACAAACACAATAAACTATACACATACAGTTCTTTCTGTATGAGCACAGGTCCTCACACCTGTAAGACGCACTAGCCTGAGACTGAGCTATTTTCCTAACCCCAGCAATGGCGAGTTTTATGTCCCAAAGGAACTGTCCTCTGTGTGAGTCACAAAAGCAGCTGTCTACTGAAAGTCCTATAGTGGTGAGAACTGGGGTAGACAGAGCAGGTGAGGAAGGAGGAGACTCTGGAGTAGACAGAGCAGGTGAGGAAGAGGAGACTCTGGAGTAGACAGAGGAGGTGAGGAAGGAGGAGACTCTGGAGTAGACAGAGGAGGCGAGGAAGGAGGAGACTCTGGAGTAGACAGAGCAGGTGAGGAAGGAGGAGGCTGCTGGTAACCCCTTAAGGCCAGTGAAGTGGATTTTTGTTGTTTGGAGATGGGTCTCATTATGTCGATCAGGCTGGCCTAAAAGTCACAGAGATCGCCTGCACCTCCCTACTGCTGGGATTACATGCATGAGCCACCATGCCCTGCCCAAGGATTGGATTAATACTGAATTTCATTTACCAAGGTGTTTGGAAGTGACTAACAACTCAATTTTGAAAGCTGAGCTTACATAGGAAGCACAAAAGCATATTTGATGGTAAAAAGATTACAACAATAAGTCCTTGGTGCTCAGTAGGTACAGAGGGAACATGGATAGCAATAAACAGAACAGCAGAAATCTCTGTTTTTGTTTTTTTTTTTGTTTTTTCGAGACAGGGTTTCTCTGTGTAGCTTTGCACCTTCCCTGGAACTCCCTTATAGAGACCAGGCTGGCCTCGAACTCAGAGAGCTCCGCCTTCCTCTGCCTCCTGAGTGCTGGGATTAAAGGTGTGCGCCACCACCGCCCGGCCTCTGTTTTTTTTTACTGTCACAATAACTAGATGAGAGGGAAGGTCAGCAGAAAAGTAAGGGTGTGTGACAGTGCCCAGGAGCTCATACCAGATGTAACAGATGTGCTTTCAGGCTGATACCTAACCACCTTCGCTCAGTCCCCAGTACCCATGTAACAATGGAAGAACTCATAAAGTTGTCCTCTGACCTCTACACACACGGTGTGGTACAGGCATGCACCTTCACACATACAATAATGGTAAAATAAAATCTAAGTCAATAAGCAAAAATGTCTTCCTTTATGTAGGGAAGTTGCCAGAAAGAGTGACGTTTGACAACAATTTGGACTTGGCACATTCTGCTAGAAAAGATTCTGAGCTATTTGAAAGTGGTCTTAAATTGGGCATGGTGACGCATGCCATATTGCCAGATCTCAGGAGGCAGAGATGTGAGATTACTCAAAGTTTGAGGCCAGCTTGGTCATCGTGAGTTTGGGGCTAGCTAGGGACACATAGCAAGATTAAAAAAACAAGCAGGTTAGCCTTGCGATAGTGAGGAGAATTGGGAGGGAAGGAGGGAGGTTTAGAGGAAAGTTCCCATTCTTCACCTTTTCCACTTTGTTCTCAGAGATGATGATTTGTGTGTCACTCGATAGAAATCCCACTTAGGATTCTGAGAGCAGGAAAAGAACTACACTATTAACTGACAACCTTTACAGTCAGATAATCTTTGCATCCCTCAGGAATGTTTTTCTAACATATAAAGGATGCTTTCAAAAGAGTTGAGAACATGTTTTATTGTAAACAGGTATTTATTTTTCCCTAATTGTTGTTATTTACAGAGCATTTTGCTACTTTGGGAGCAGTTTGAAGACACTAGTCACCATAGTTCACATTCTCACCACAGCTTAGCAGGGGTCCTGCTGATCATCTTAAGAATCTGCCTGGCACTATCGCTGGGCTGTGGACTCTACCAGATCATCACAATGGAGAGGAGCACGCTCAAGAGAGAGTTCTACATCACATTCGCCAAAGTATGCATGGGGCAGGAAGTGGCTTCCGATGGTCTGCTGCACTCTCCTTTCTGGAAAGTTAGCGAGCAATTAACCTGGGTTGCTTTCTGTGTGCCAGGGCACTGTTCTGAGCTCTCTGTTAATCTTCATGCCATGCATGATGTGGCTTTGAACCCATTGTACAGAACCCATGGAACAATATTTTCCGTATAGTCTTGAAAGGCCCTTGGGCTCCATCTTGGTTTTTCCTTATCAGTAGTGATTTTTCTTCTCTTCTGTGGGAATTTAAAAAATTGTTTGTTAGCAGCTGTTAACTGTCTGAACCGATACTCTTGGAGTTCCAGTGTTGTGTAACAAGCCCTGAGGGGCTGTCCTCAGTATGGGAGGATGCAGCCCAGAGGCTGGTGCTGCAGCCCAGAGGCTGGTGCTTCACCCCCTGTGTCCATGTGAGCAGAGTGGGTCCTTTCTGTGCCCGTCTAATCAGAACGCTGTAGAGCAGCAGAGGAATTCTGAGCGCTCATCTTAGTTCCCACCTCTTCCTCATCACTGGCCCCTATGTCTCTCTGCTCGAGAGTTTTAAATATATGCATTCCTCTACATTTCCCTCTCTTTCTACGTGTAGTAACACATTGAAAACTGTCAATCTTCAAAGTGCCCCAAGCATTATTAACTTGTTTCAAATTGAATTTTGAGAAAGAGATACATTGTGACATTTTGTGGGAAAATAGAGAAAAGTATTTGAAAAGCATAATGTGAAATTTCCTGTTCCTCCTCAGTCTCTTGCCTCTCCCCTGCAATCCACTCTGCCATTCATAGTAACTGCTGTGATCGTCTGGGGTGTTTTTACGAATTCACTTGAGTATGGACATGTGACTGTGACTTCATGGTTTCATTTCTTTTTGCAGAAATAGTATACATTTGTACCTTGCTTTTCTCAGTTACTAATTGCTGCCTGTATCACAGCATTGATAGTCTATAAAATATATGTATGGGACAGATTTATAAGTGTAATGTTATAAGTGCTCTAAAAATTGGCAATTTATTGAGAGAAAAGAAGTATTAATGTCATAGCAAAAATAAATTTATTTCTACATTTTATTTCAAATTTATGCTGAAGTGTAATTGAGGCCAGTCAGGACCTACAACAGAGAGAGTGTTAAGATTTTATTTTTATTTTATGAGTGTCTGTGTTTTGTCAGGTGCCCTGGAGCTAGTTATAGACAGTTGTGAGCTGCCATGTGGGTGCTGGGGACTAACCCTGGGTCCTCTGCAAGAACAGCAAATGCTCAGTTAAGAACATTTGCTGAGCCCTCTCTTCACCCGACGCCATAAGTATATTAATACTTGTTGTTTGATTTTTGATTCAGGATCTCACTCTATAGCCCAGGCTACCCTCAAGCCGCGGTGCTCCCGCTGCACTGCAGACTCCTAATGCTGAGAGGACCACAGTGTACTCTGCCCGACCAGCCTTGCTTTTGTTTCTCTTCTCAGTCTGGCGCGTCTCAAGTAAAGACAGCAGATCTTACTGGCTTGTCGGTTTCTTTCAGGGCTGTATCTTGTGGTTCTTATGCCAGCCAGTGCTTGCCTGCATTGCTGTGATTTTTAATGACTACCAAAGAGATAAGGTAAGTGATATTCATGACGAAAATGTTGTTAAGTCTTTATTTAGAACATGTTAAAGTAGGAGATACCTACCTAGCCATTCAGAAGTTTCTTGAGTTCTTTAAAAACTCAAAAGAAAATTTTAAAAACTGATGAGTACATAAATTAGAAGTTCATAAACATTAAAAAAATTAAAAATTAGTTCATAAGCAAAATGATAGAAATAGCTTTTTTGTTGGTCTGTTTGCTTTTGAAACAGGATCAGAATATATAGCTCTGGGCCTCAAACTGGAATTGATCCTCCTGTTTCTGTCTTCCAAGTGTTGAGATTACAAGCACATGCTACCACACCCAGCCTCGAAGTAGCTTCTATGGGTCTTAGCCCATTTTGAAGTCATGTTTTATGAATTAAACTAGAGGACATGTAGTGCATCTCTTTTAAAAACAGAAATGATTAGAATTGTTCACTGTGTAAGGTATTAGCCGAGATGGACAGAACAGTCACGTTGCTGGAACAGCCTGCAGACTAGAGCAGGCTGACTCTAGATGTGGTGATACCTGCCTTCCTTCATCAGCAGATGGCTCCAGCATTTCAGAGCGGAGCTCGCCATTTAGTGTTTACAGGTGGACAGTAGGAACATGGCCCACAAAAAGACCTGTGACTTGAGGCAGAAGTATGTTTTACTGCTATTAGCTAGATTAAATTAGCTCCATTCCTGATTTTTCTTGTTACCAAAACCCATGTCTGTAACATGCATTCCCTTGGGAAACCAGGTACTTTTCTCTCCCACTGTAGCATCTGTAAACTAAGCGTCAAAAGGATTTTACCCTTGAACAGTCACAGTCCTGAAGTTATGTCTACTGTCTGTGGAATGTGTTTCCTGAAATGCACCCGTGGTAAAGGTGAAGGACTGTGTAGAGCGCAGAGTGGATGCATGGTACATGAAATGTAACTTTTCTGTTTCTGCACATGGTGAAACATTCCCTTTCTTTTTTCTTTTTTCCAGGTTATTACAATAGGTGTAATCCTTTGCCAGGCTGTGTCCATGGTTATTCTGTACAGACTCTTCCTGTCCCACAGTCTATACTGGGAAGTTTCTTCACTTTCCTCAGTGACACTACCACTGACCATTTCATCTGGACACAAAAGTCGCTCTCATTTCTAATACTTGATTTTTGTTGAAAGAACAAGTGAATTGGATAAGTGCAATAAGGATCCAGATGCAGTGACTTCTTTTCATGCCTTTGCTGTGAAAAACTGAACTGTGAGAGCAAAGCATGTTATTTATATAACTGCATTTCAGCAGTGCCAAAACTCAGAAAGGTCATAAATGTCTGGAGTGTGCTCAAACAATAAACTTTAAAAAGAGTGTTGTTTCAAGTGTTTCAAGGTGACTGAAGCTGATGTGGAAATAAGTGTGAAGAGATGACTTAAATGATATGTGGGTCAGGTGTTCACACTTCCAATGCCTCATTAATAATGAACTCAGGTCTGATAGTCTTAAATAGCGTTCACTCAGATGATCACGCTTGTTCATATCCAGCTAGTCCAGTTACGAAGTCAGTGGGAGATGCTGATTTTAAAACTACTTTTTATGTTCTAAAGGACGTGCATTTCATATTACAACGTAAGGGAATTGGAAATAAACAGAAAGTATGTGAACAATTAAATGAATTAGCTTCTGTTTATTCATGGGTAGAGTTATTTGCAGTTTCTCCCGTATTGTTGGCCCTAGTTCAGGCTTTATCTTGATTAGGAAAGGATTTTGGACAATGTGTGGACAATCTTAGATATGTTACATTGGTTGTAAGAACAGAGAGGGTTTTAAATCTGAGCACTTGGGTGAAAGGACAAACAGGTTTTTGTGTTTAAAAAGAAAGAAGGAAAAAGTAGTATGTGATATGGCACTAAAATTTTAATCCTGAGATAATTCATTTCTCTTACATTGAATCCCCAATCATAATTAAGCTGTATACACAGATTACATTAACAGGAGCATTTCACATAAATGTTGGTTTCAGTCATCAACTACCCATGAATTCCTGCCCAAGGATACTTAATCAGGATTAAATTTTCTATGAATAATTGAAAAACAAAATACTCACTGGATTTGTTATAATCCATGTTGGCACTGGATTGTAAGTAGTTGCCATCTTGAATCCTTTGTAATAAAGCTGCATGTGCTCGTGGGGTGTGTTTGTGTGTGTGTGTGTGTGTGTGTGTGTGTGTAGTTTTCTGAAGTGCCTGATTGCAGAACTGCTCTGTGGCTGTCAGTACTCACTGTGTGAGATGAGAGCCCTGACCAGTCATTACTGATTGGCAGTTACTAAGTCTGTTGGTGTCTGTCGAGTCGTTTGGGTCTTTTTGTTTACCTTTGGCTAATTTTAAATATTTTTATTTGCTTTTACCATGCTTTTAAACAGGAAGTGGTGCAATAGTCTGTTAATTGAACTTTTTAATGAAAGAGTTCAGGTAATGTAACACAATTAAAAAGTATCTGTGGTTTTGTCTTTATTTTTCACTTTCATGTAGTTTCATTGAAAATGAAAATATTCTGCTTCATTTTAAAGGCAAAATATGTTTGCAGCTGGCAAACTGATGAAGTAATGCAGTCCACCCATGACTAAAGTGTCTCTCTAAACAGTACTCGGCTGTCCTTCAGTAAGTGAGAGCTACAGGTTAACACAAAAATGTGGAAGGCATATTTTAGGTTTATAGAACCCACTAGTGTGTATAACTTTTTCCTCTCACTGTGTCTCACTAATTCTACAAGTTACGCCTGTTGTATTCAAGTACATTTCAGTTAAGCCACACACAAAAGTTCTGCAAACTTGAAGCAGTGAGAAGGGAACAGTCCATTCTCTTACACGGAGAGCCGGGGGAGTCTGATGGCAGGCATAGGACACAGACCAATGTGCTTGCGTCTGCAAAACTTTTAACAGGGTTTCTGTTTGTTTTTCAATATATTCAGTTGCTAATAATTTATATTTTCCTGTTAAAAGCTGTTACTAAGTCAAGAAAAACAGTTGTTGACAAATGTATGAAACTATCCCTTACCTAACAGATCCAAGGACTAAAGTATCTCATGTTATAATAGTATCTGTTTTCTTTTCTTAATCACTCTAAATCACAGAAGGATGAAATGTCCCTACCCTATGTTTCTTTCTCCTGTCGGACAATACCTTTGAAATTAGGGGGTTCTTTTCCTTTAAAAACAGTCTATGGACACCCCCATCCTGTTAAAAAAAAAAAGCACTGTTTTCTTTCTTTGAGAAAATGTGAAGATGTTTGATTTTATTGATATGTATAAATAATATAAATGCCTACTGTACATCAGACATTAGAACCAAGCACCCATTTAACTGAGTAGGAATAAATAAATGTTTCTTTGAAGCTCACCAGACATTTTTATTTTTTTATTTTACTTTCATGATTTTTGAACATATTTATTAGGTTATATATTTTTAATTTTAATGAGTGTGTGCACATGTGTGTGGGTACCTGTGGAGGCCAGAAGAGGGAGTCTTATCCCCTAAATTGGAGTTACAGGCAGTGGAGAGCCTCTGGCTGTGAGTGCCAGAATCCCAGTACCCTGAGAGCAGCAAACCCTGAGCCATATTTCCAGCCCCCAGGGCATAGTTTTTCATTAGGATGAATGAATATTTGTATTTAGGCTTGGCTGATATTTTCAGAATTGGACCTGTAATTGTGCTAAACTCTGAAATGCACTTCAGTAGCTATGAAAACGTAGTCCACTTTCATACTTGAACCTAGCTTACAGCCAGACATGGAGAGTTAGTCCAGGGTTTGCTTTTGGAAACTTTATGATCTCAAATAAAGGAATCCATATCTGATGAAAATAGAATATACACAAGTCCAAGATCATCGCTATAGACCCTGGGCATGAGCAGAACACGGGCCCTTGACACGTTCCCTTAGGGGAGTGCAATTATTCGTGACACCTTCTTATACCTAGCTTCTGTGGTGTCACATCTTAGAGGGTTTGGTTTTGATTTGAGATGATGGGATTGTTACGAGCAGCCAGATGGTTGGAGGCTTTATGAAAAGAGGTTTACCACCTTTAAACCCAACGTGGATTCATGAACTGAGACTAAACTGATGGACTTTGCTGTGAAGTTGGGAACCAGTGTGGGTGCCCTGCAGTTTACATCCTGCAGTCCTCTAAGTATCCATCCTGCTTCCACACCTGGGTAATTGTCTTCCCAGCTCCATGGACATGGTACATGGCATGTTCTGGGAGTGCCAGGAGACCCAGAGGGGTGAGAAGAAACTGGCTTGCCTGTGCAGCCATGTACAACATAGCCAATACAGTCTCAAAAGGGAAAGCAGGATGGTGGGCATGCAGGATCATATGTTAATCATAGATCAGATTTGGTTTGTTTTTTGCTTTTTTGTAAGTTTAGAATTATTTCAAAACAAGGTGTATGTATGTCTGTCTGTACATGCATGCGTGCGTGTGTGTAATAGGTCCACACTTGTATAAACTCAACTGTAGACACTTGCCTGGCATGCATGAAGCTCTCTAGGTTCAATCCCAGTGTCATACAAAGAAATGGCTTTCCTGTTCTGATCAGACCCTGCCTGCTGACACATTATTCTGTCTGACACAGCCCTGTCATAGTTAATAATTGTCTTTTCTTCCTTGGGCCCCATGGCTCTACCTTCTGTTGTAAGAGAGTTTGTCCATTGTCTTTACTGTACACGGGGCATTCTTAGTGCATACTAGGTGCTCAGATATATACGTATTTTTGTTGTTTTTATGTTTGTGAGACAGTCTTGCTCTATGACAGGCTGGGCTCATTGTGTAGCCCACCCGGGCTTGGAAATCATGGCAATCCTGCCTCGGCCTCTCGAGTACTAATATTACAGACACGAGCCACCACACCTGGCTCTCAAATATATCTCTGAGGTGAGTGAAATGACTCGCTTTGCCACAGAAGAATGAGAGTCTGAATTTGATCCTGAGAACCCACCTAAAGGTGGATCTGCCAAGTTTTCTTGTGACCTGGACATATATACCAATGCATATGTGTGTACACATATCATATACACACAGACACACAACAGTAATACAATTATTTGTATATGAGTGAAAGAAATTCTGAAGAAAAAAACCCCAAAATTTCTTTAGCAGTGTAGCATTAACTAAGGCACACTACCCGCTTGGCTTTAGTGCCTGCCTTGTCCTTTGTTCACTTACCTGGAGCTAGCGGGTGTGTGAACTCTTCAGTCAGGTGCTGTGAGGCGACTCCTCCAGTCCTCAGAGGCCGTCCCCCTCTACTGTCATGTAATACTTTGCGGACCAAATAACAGTAGTTGGGAGTAGCTGGTAGAAAACAGGAAACTAAAAATAATAACACATCATAGCAGCTCAGGGTCATTCAGAGTAGTGAAAACATTCCTGTCTCTTAGTACACTCAGTTTTATTCAGTGTAACAAGGGCCCTTCCTATAATCAGGAACATATGAAAATTATAAATCATGTTTAATAGTCTTAGACAGATGTGAAAATAGGTTTTTTTTTTCTTTAATAGGTAATATTTACATCTTGCACAAAAATCTGAGATAGCCTTAAAAGGGGATTGAGGTCTAGAAGCTACTCATTTTCCTTTTGTGAATACTACCTATTACTTGGGACATTCTTGCTTAAATTTCTAGAAACAGTTTGATGCATAGGATGGATAAACATACCGATGTATTAAAGTTGTAACATGTCACACACCTGCCTGTATGCCGAGTAATGTATTCTGTAGCCATCATATAATATGCTCCATTGTATGGGTTTGCTTTCATTTGTTTAACCTGTTTTTAATTGATTTGGACATTGTTGGTTTCCAGTCTTTTGCTAATATAGATGAGGCTGAAATTAAGGCTAAGGAATCAAGAATTTGCTTACTCTAACTCCTTCCAGGATAACCCCCTCTACCCTACAACTTCCTAAATCCAAGTTCTTAGAGCTTTGTAAGTGATTAGTGTCTGCTTTTGGTGGGCCCTGATGGTTGGACTGGTAAGTCCACACAAAGGCCAGCCACTTGATTAGAAGGTGGAGGGTCAGGCATAGTTGAAAGAGGGAGGACGATTTTTATTAGGTTTGTCTTCAGTGGGTTATTAGTAGTTTGTTCTTTCATAATTTCATACGTGCACATGGTGTATTTTGGTCCCTCCACCCACTTGTACTTCCTTTCCACATTAACCACTCTCTCCCCTATTGCTCCCTATGAATCTGTTTCCCCCATTTATCAGTCTGTTTTGTTAGGTGTCCTGTGGTTTGACCACTACTGTCTGCATGGTGCTGAATTTGGAGATAACCATGAGTGCCTGGTGGGTGTCCAAGTGGATACGCAACTGGATAATTCTGTGAGTTTGTGGTTCCAAAGTTAATGTCCTGTTTAGAAAATGGTACTTCCCAGCCTCCATCTCCATCCTGCAGCTCATGTTCTTCCAGTCTCTTCCGCGGTTTCTTTCCTGAGCCTAAGGGGGTGATACCAGTGTCTTGTCAATGGCTGGTCTTGTCTAGGTTCTGCTGCCCTTTATTCTCAGCACCTTGTGCAGCCATGGGTCTTTGTATTTATCTCTGTTAACTGCAAGGGGAGTGATCTCCTTAAGGCTTTCAGTAGCCATTGTGGACTGTGGAGATAGATATTCAGGGGTGTGGCTTGGTGTTATGTCGGTTCAGCTAAGTAGCCATCTTAGGTGTCCACTTTCCAGTCCTCCAAACCTTTCAGGAAGCCAATATTATCCTAGTACCGAAACCAGAGAAAGACAAAATTGTAGACCAATGCAAAAAATCCCTATGAAATACTTGCAAACAGTTAAAGATCACATCAAGAAGATTATTTGCCATAATCAAGTTGGTTTTTTCTAGAGATATGGGGAGGGTTCAACATATATAAGTCAATAAATGTAACGATATTAATGGACTCAAGGACAGAAGTTGCACAATTATCTCAATAGATACAGAAAAGTCCTACCAGACCAACATCCCTTCATGATCAAAATTATAAGAGGCAAAGGATGAGAGGGTCTGCGTTAACATAATAAAAGCCATATATAATAACAAATCTTTACCAATATATCAAATAGGGGAAAACGTGATGCATTTCCACTAAAATCAAGATGCCTGTTTTTTCTTTTAACTTCTTTTCAATATATTGACATTTTAGCTAGTGCAATAAGACACAAGAAGGAACTAGAAAAGGATACAAATACAAAAAGAAAAAAAACAAATTATTCTTTTTGGCAGATGATATTCAAAACACAATAGACCATAGAGACCACACACAGGGAGGGAGGGAGGGAGAGGGAGAGGGAGGGAGGGAGGGAGAGGGAGAGGGGGAGAGAGAGAGAGAGAGAGAGAGAGAGAGTCCTAGCTCTAATACTTTCAGCAGCAAAGCAAGAGAAAAATACCTTGAAATAAACAACCAGGGAATTCAAAGACCTATTTAATGAAACTTGAACCTTGGAAAAGGAAATCAAAGACATTAGGAGATAGAAAAACCTCCCATGCCCATGGATTAGAAGAATTAATGCTGTGAAAACAAATATATTACCAAAAACAACGCTATGGTAAAAACATAAAAATCTGCATATTCAGTGCAATTCTTATCAAAATTCTAATGCCTTTCTTTGCACAATTTTTTTTAATCTAAAATCTCGTGGAAGTATAAAAGATCCCAGATAGCCAAAGAAATCCTGAGCGAACAGAGTAATACTGGAAGGATCGCCATACCCAATTTTAAGTTATGCTGCCGAGTCATAGTAACAAGAACAGCATGGTACTGACAGAAACAGACATATTAGCCTAAATATAAGCTCACACAGCCATATGAGATGCAAAAAACAAAAACAAAAAAAACCCACATTAAAGAAAAGATATCATCTTCAAAAAGTGGTAGTAGAAAACTAGCTATCCATACATGAAGTTAAGAAACTGGATCCTTACATCTCACTCTGTATAAACAATCAGTGCCGAATGCATTGAAGATCTTCCGAATGCATTGAAGATCTTCCAAATACATTGAAGATCTCACTGGTAGCCTAAACTGAAGTTACTGAAGGCAAAGGAAGGAAGAACACCTCAAGGCTGAGGCATAAGCAAGAACTTTCTCAGTAGGATTCCAGTCATTCAGGAGACAATGCCAATAATTGACAAGTGGTACTGTGGTCATTTGTAGATGATTTTCTAAATGGTCTTATTAAATAAAAAAGCATGGAGCCTGATATAGGGGTGAAAACCTGAGAGATCAGGGAAATAAGGAAAGCTACAACTAACCTTACCTCACCAACTCCACAGCTTCCAAATGCAAGATACTTCTGTCTGCCCACGCCTATATGCCTTGCTGTTCTGCCATCTGATTTGCTCTCTCTGTCCAGCTACA